TGGGAGTCTGCTTAAACTGTCACATCCATCTTTTAACAATTATTGCAATACAGTAAGTAACACAAATGCAATAGCACGTCACTGTGTTTAGACATCTTACAAACGTTCGAACACTAGCAATTTATAGATTGTCATTAAAGAATATGCTGCCAACCAATGACTTGAAGATAGTTAACTCTACATCAGCTGCATAAATTCATCAAACCATTCAGAAACGTCCTGTTGCATTCTACATGTTGTCACTTTTTCTCTCCATCATTGTCCGACTTCAGTTTGAACATCAAAAGCAGAACAGTTTCTGACATTTTAGTGCGTGTCTGCAATGAGTCAAGAGGCTATATGCACAGCTGCACTACTTCCTGAACTTCAGCCAGCTCCTTGTTTCCTGCCTGCCATTATTGGCCAAACTTGATTAATTCAGGTGTGTCTGATTATTGTTGCCTTGACTACTGAGGACAAGCACACCTGAATTAATCAATTTGGCCAATAATGGCAGACAGGAAACAAGGGAACTGGCTGAAGTTCAGGAAGTAGTGCAGCTGTGCATAAAGCCCAGTGGACCTGCTAACACACAATATCTTGAAGCTCCGCCCACTGTGCCAGGAGCCAAATGTGCTCATTTGCATTTAAAGGGACACAAACAAAACTACACATTTTTCTCACACTCCAAAAGAGACAATTTTAACATGCTATAAAACTTGATCTGTGGGATATTTTAAGCTAAACCTTCACATAGACAATCTGGGGACATCAGAGACTTATTTTATATCTTGTAAAAAGGGGCATTATACCACCCCTTTAACAGGTTTGTTAGTTTGCATTACTTATCTATTTACTAGTAGTCGAGTATTAAATCGCCAAGACCGATCTGCATTGGCCTGTTTCGGTTTGGCCGATGCGTCACAATTGGGACTTTTATTTTGACAGCATTGAGACTGCCAGTGCCTGAGCACACAATATAATCATATCTTATTACATAGAACTACTAAACAAAGCAAGTAAACAATATACAAAACATTAGCTTTTTTATTATTACTAATAGAACGGCAAACACTGCAATACCACAGTCCCTTTCTCATCTACTGTTAGCATTCAGCATATACTCATTTATACAATTTAAACAAGTCTTTGAATGTCTGTCTTTGAATTTTTTTTTTACCTTGCAGACAGTCGAATTCAGCAGTGAGATATTCTGAAGTGTGTATATATATATATATATATATACACACTTCCCAGTGCACACAAACTTACTAGACTGTCCGGGTTTTTTTTTTATTGTTATTTTTAACCATTTCTTTATTTGTGAAAGAATATTATAGGATTGCAGAATCAATAAGTTGATTTTCTGTTTATTTAACAGATTTTTACCAAGTTCAAATTAATAAAAAAAAAACCCACCAAATATTATATGACAAGGGAAAAAACACCTAGTTTATTACATATTAGGGCTAATTTGATTAGGCATATATAAATCCATTCCGCAGAATTCAGCACAAAACAAAATAGTGTGACGCCAACTCATTTAGTTTTCCTTGTAAAATAAAATTATGAGGAAACGTCTGAACAGAACTTAAGTCTCTAAAAGAACTTGATGACAGAAAAAAGCAACAAAACAGAGATAGAGAGACAGACCAACACTAAGCTAACACTATATTCACAGCAATTATTCAAAGACATCCAGTTTTAATAAGGGTGGAGTCAGACTCAGAATGGGTAAACTAAACTTGGATCGCACATCACACAGCCTTCAACACTCAAACAAATGCCGTCAAAGCCAAATCTGTCATTACTCAACCCTTTATTTACAGCCAGTCTCTGTCTTCCCTGTATCCTGAGTCTTCTCGTCTGACGGACGAGGCATTAGCTTCTAAGTGCTGACATTCACTCAGATCTGGTGAGTGGCAGGCTGTCAGATCAGGCTGTCCTCAGCTCCCACCCTCCCCACCGAGTGAGTTAGGGCTGCAGGCTGAGCGTCTCTCAGCTGGGCTGTGCCAGACACCACCAGCCTCCTAAAGCTCAAAGACCTGCACTGTACCATCACAATCATCATAATATTACTGATCCTGCTCCTATCTCAGCTTCCATCTCCAGAAGAAAAAGCAAGCGTTACTGTGAAAGAATGTTGGATGTATTCCATCCATGATGTTTTGGCTGTTTGACTCGTCCAGTCCAAGAGGACTAGATAATGATAGCTTCTCCAACACTTTATTCTGATAATACCCTCCTAAACATTCCTTAAACCCACTGGACTTACAGATTAAGCCCTGGACAGCCTCAACTATAATTATGACAATTTAGAAAAGTTTGTTTGTAAAGTACCAAGTTTGATAGGTCAAAAACAATAAGTAGTGAGTCACACTGTGTACAAAGGCATGACTCAGGTCTTCAACACAACAGAGCCATACATCCAGAGTAATTCATCACAATCAGTGAACCATAAACTAGGACGTTCCCTCACTGCATTGTATGATCGATCCAGATAGATTTGGTCATGTTTTTCTTAACCTTTTATAAAAATTAGAGTTTGGAGAACTATCACCAAGGATGCAAAGAGTTTCATATTTTAACATTGAAGAAGTCAGTGTTTAATAACTCATGCCAGTGGATCTCGCCAAAGTTTGGACACCATTATATAGACAAATACAAATAACTCCATTGTTTTTTAAATAAAATTAAAAAAACGTGTGCTCACTGTGCTGCCTACTGTATTTTTGTGGCAACATACATTGGTTTTCAGGATACTGTATAGAATTTAAGTAACAATGTGAAAGTATTTACTGTCCACTTTTGTTCAATGTAATGCATTCTTGTTGAATAAAGTACAAACATTTTTATAAATCTCAAGTGGTCGTCAGTGTACAACATAAAGAGAACTTTTATCATTAATTCCATTTTAGTAAAGCGCTCACAAAAGGATACAATTTGATGGCCCCTGATTTAGTTCCAATGGCCATAAGCTGCAGTGTGGGATCATAGGCCAAAGCGCTTGGCTGGTTTGGGAATCCATGTTCAACTGTCTGAGTAAAAAACAAAGAAAAGAAAGAGGAAATCTCACATTCAGGACTTAAACTCACATATAAATTTACCCAAGATAAAAATTTGTAAGAATTCCTCTTTTTCTACTAAAAAAGAAACCAATTCATACTTCATTGACCTCTAATGAGCCCTGATGCTACAATTAGCAATGTAGTCGTGTGATCCTGACAGGAAAGGGATTTCCTTGTTTTTACAACAAAAATACAGAACCAGGAATAGTTAGGGAGGAAACCTAGTAGATTTGACAGACAATGTTAAATTCATCTTCACACAAGCCATCAAAAATGATTTGCAGAAACATGTTTTGGGGCACCTTTAAAAATGTCATCTTAAATCAACACACAGAGGGCACGAATTTAAGCAAAACAAGGCTTGAAGTTGGCCAAAGGATGCTGATCTCTTTTCACAGGTTGACAAAGTGTAAATAACAGAAGCTTCTTGTAACATTATACACAGCGTCATGACACTTCATCAGTATGACACACAAACGCTTTCCTTCAAATCCACAAAAACCATCTGTGGATAAATGTAATTAGCAGCAGCATTAGAGAAATGAACACAAACTGAGGGCTATAACCCAAGATGTTTGAAAATGTTATCTCTCATAATGCTTTACAATGAGGAGGAGGGCTAGAAATGTTGCCAGAGTTTGGTCATCAGTAAAGAACCAACAATCAAACCCTTTCTGTGTTTCTGGCAGGGGAGCAGTAACATGTTCATTATGATTTAAGAGCAGCCTCATTATGAAGAGCTCTACAAATCTTAACAATCACCCTGCTCCTGCCAGCAGCACCACTGCAGCAGGACACATTCAAGGCTCAGAAACCAATATCAATAAACAAACACGATTTGTTTCATTAATGAAATTGTCATTGAACTACATTAATATATTTAGCTCTTATATAATCTCAAATAATTATGATATGCAAATGAATAAATAAAAAAAGTTGTCAAACATAACAAAATTAAGTAAAATAAACTGCATCTGTAATTGAAATTCGTTGAAGAAAAATTTAAAAACTAACCGCTGAAGATGGATACAAATACGAGTAAACTTTGAGGTCACTCACAATAGACAACGCGCCCTGATCTCATCTGATTTAATGAGCTCCACTGATTAAGATGAATATCAAACACAGCACATTTTTTTCATTCTCGCAAAGCTATAAAAGTCCAACTGTCCACTAATAAGAAGAAAAGCTTGCTATACATAAAGTACTCATAGTTGCAAACAACTTTCATGCGTATATAATATTGTTGATACTTAGCCTATAATATATATAGCCCTGATAGTTGGAAACATTGCCGTTAATAGTTGCGTGTAATTAAAAACAACATTTAAACAATCCATGCAATTATTTATATATTTTCTAGAATTAAATGTTCTTTCAGTCGATTTCAGTGCAACCCGAAACGCATGCATCCTCGAGACACAGGAGACCCAACGCTATCCCACATACCTTATTGAATGCAAATAGATCCTGCTTGATTTTCTCACGATGAGGGTCATTTCCCTGCCGTCTGAACCTAAACTTCATCATCCTGAAGCCGAATCAGAGATATATCACAGCCCGCACCGTCTCAGATTGATAGAAATTCCGTTAGGCGTGAATCGGTGCAGAGAAACAATGTGATCCTTCATGCAAGCTCCAGTTTCTTTTGTATCCACTCCTCAAGCCGTGCAAGTTTTCAGCTGTGTGTTTATGCAGTTTAACCACAGGGCAAGTTCGCAGGAACCACGTCTCAGGAGAGCCAATCAGAGCGAAGAATCTGTAACCAATTCACCAAGCCACGCCCACTGCCAGCGAGCGCGTGGAAAACACGGATCAGGATTCGGCTAGCGTAACTATTCAGTCACACGTTTGAACTGCCAAGCATAAATTTTTTTTACAAACATTTAACAGCATAATATTAATATTATTCATTGTGCATTCAGTGTTATTAAATTAAATTGTGAGAAACAGTACAGCTGTGATTTATTTTATTAAAAGTCTTCATTTTATACCAACTACATTCATTGTGCATACTACATAGTGCATTTTTCGTCCACATAGAGAATTAAACATAATAAAAACATTGCATAAATATTTAAATCATAACAGTCTCAAGTAGTGCAACTTCAAAAACAGTGGCTACATTGTTTTATTACTCTTTCTCTCTCATAAAAAATATTCTTGCTGATCATGTGTTCGGAGCTAGAGGTAGAATAGAAATATAGTGTTTTAAACTATGGGACCATATGTTCAACCTAATGGAAAGCATGCAAATTGTTGCGAATAACAAGCTAATCCTAAAACTTGGTTAAATTGCAAACAGACATATTGCACTATCAATGATGACAGCTGGCTTTGGACGTGAGTTTAATAGTGTCTGATTGCAATTATTGCCATAAAAGTACTAATATAAAACAGTGAGAAGGCGTGCTAGAGCAGTGTGATTTCACTGGGCGGCAGAGTAAGTCTCTTCTCCCGTACGGACAGCAGGTTCTCCACATGCATGGCGATGACACGGCACAGCTCAAGGCTCTGTAAAGTAAAACGCACAGGAATAAGCTCAGCCCACAGTGGCTCCGTGAAAATGAAAACTCATTATATATGACTTTTTATATTGTGTGATGATTTGGAATCCTACACTCCCTCTTTTAGTTGAAAGTCCATACCTGGTCCAGCTGTAACTGTGTAATGCGTTGAGACATTAGGTCACCCAGCATTATCTCCACGTACGGGTAACTGGAGCCAGCTGTGGGCCTCTGTGTCCGTGTGGACTGGACCTCCTTCAACGGGAACTTCACCATCGGCTCCTGAGGAACATTGAAAACAGCTGTGAAGTCTATATGTGACCATGTTAGATAATATCTAGGCAGGAAATGCAACTATATTTGCAAATATAGGGTATAATGGATAGCAGTGCCAAAGCAGATTACATATTCTAATCCAAGAATAATGCATACTTTTACATAAATTGGTGCAAAATTCAATCAAATCTTTATCTAGGACGTGCATCATATTTACTAAAATACAGAAACAAGTGCTGATGATTTAAATAGGAGCCTTAAAGAGATATAATACCATTCAAAAGTTTGGGGTCAGTAAGACCTTTGAAAAAAATAATACTTAAAATTAAATTGATCAACAGGGACAGTACAGACATGTGTACTTGTTACAAAATATTTCAATTTCAAATAAATGAGCCCTGAAAAAAAGTATCACGACAAAAATAATAAGCAGCACGACTGTTTTCAACATCAATAATAATAATAATAATGTTTCTTTAAATCAGCGTATTAGAATGATTTTTGAAGGATCATGTGACACTGAAGACTGGAGTAATGATGCTGAAAATCCTGCTTTGACATCACAGGAATGGCATTTTAAGGTATATTAAAATAGAATTTTTTTTTAAACAATATTACTGTTTTATGCTGTATTTTTGAAAAAAAATAAAAAAATAAATGTAGCTTTGGTGAACATTTATTTATTATATTTATTTATTATATTTATTTAACAGGGACAGTGTATGGCATGCAGCCATACCAGAATTAGCTACAAACATAAGAGATTTATTTCAAAAACAATAATAAATCTCACCAACCTCAAAGTTTTGTAGTAATTCTGTCATTATTTACTCACTCTCAATTTATTTTAAACATATATTACTGTCTTAATTATGACAGAATTAAAAAAAAGTTACGCTATTAAATTAAGAAATAATCCAGTCTTAGAAATACAGCTCTAAAAGGTTATCTTCACGCAGGCTTTTAGTAAAGATTGGGAAATAAGGGGTTAAACTTACATGAGTCTCTTTGCTTAGAAAGTTCAGACCATTTTGATTGACAGCCAGTACACACGGGGTGTTGATAGCAGCGTTGCTGCTGCTCTGTATGTAGAAGAATGATGAGCCGAACATGGGAAAAGCACTCACAAGCCCTGAAACAGAAACAAGTACAACAATCAGCCTTTTGAATAAATGGCTGCGCCCCTCCACATTGGCTGTTCTCCTAAGTCAACACCTCACCCAAAAATTGTGCTTTGGCCTGATGGGGACTGAGGGCCTGCACCTGCTGCATATGCTGGTTTACCATGTTTAACCACTGCTGGGGCCGCTGGAGACCAAAGAGTTGGGTGGGAATACACTCCTGAACCTCAAGGCTGATGGCAGAGAACAAGAGAAAGTTAGTCTATAAATGAAGTGTCAAACTTAAATGACCTCAGGGACACTATAGCCAGGTGATTTTCTCCAGCAGAGCAATCATAAGTGTTTTTACAATCACAAGTTTTACCTCTATAGAATATACACAGTAATTAATATGTACAGACATCTTCTTCGGAGTGAATCATTTCTCCCTTGTACCTAGTAATGATCTCTGGGATTGTATTCCTCGACAACTACAATTTTCCACTTGGAGATCAGGCAGTTATGCTTAATGGTCAGTGTGTGTACACAACTGTTGTCTCTTCTGTTCACCAAGGCTGCATTTAGTCAATCAAAAATACAGTAAAAACAGTAAAATATGATCACAATTTAAAATATCTGTTTTCTACTCCAGTCTTCAGTGTCACAAGATCCTTCAGAAATCATTCATATACATTCATATATAGGAGCATTTCACCCATTTCAAAATTAATCTTTATTGAAAGTGGATCATATATGTAGTCGAAATGTAAAAGAATTTTTGAATTTGGTGCCCTCTTGACCGAGAAAAGACAGAAAATAACCGAAGGGTGCATTTGTAGGAAAGACTACAACACCCACAATGCACCACATTGAACAGCTCCGCAAGCCACACCCACTAATTCGGAACTTCGCACACATCAGAGAAATCATTCTTTCGTCAACAAGGCTAACGTTAGCTGCCACCAGAGTTTGAAATTCATTTCACACAAAATTTCTAGTTTGTTGGCTGTGGCGATTAGGACGAGGGACGCGAGTTATGCACCGCGAGAGGACGGCGCGAGGCCGGTGGTGTGAGTTATAATGAAAGAAAGAGACGCACCGACGTCTCATATCTCTCACAGAGGAGCGGAAGTAAAAACGGCAGATCGAGAGAGAAACGAGAGAGTTGTGTTTTGTTTCTGTTGTGTGTAGACAACAGTCAATGAGGGACTGTTGGCTTATACTTTTGTTTTGTATTTGTTCATTTAACTATTAAAATGTTTAAAAATTTAATAATGAGGAGTTAAGTTTGTACTCTCTACACTTTTCAATGAAATGTGACTGAAAATGACGATTTTTAAGTCACAAAAAGCAGGAAGTAAAACACTTAAATCCTTATTTCTCCAATCTCAGGGGAAAATAAGGAAATAAACCATGACCATTCAAAAATATGACTGGGTTTCTAAAGATGCAAAGCTTAATGCAAATGGGTGAAGTGTCCCTTTAAGAAACTTGTTTTTGATAATCAACATATCTATGTTAAAAGTTTTGTGCAACCGTAAAAATTTGTTCAAAATTATTTTATGACTACAAAGCTCAAAAGAACAGAATTTATTTTAAATAGAACTCTTTTGTACAATTATGAATGTGATATTGTTTAGCTTTTGACGAATGTATAACATTTCAGTTCTTCCTCTGGTTGATAAATGCAGTGCGTGACGCCAGATCAATGGCCTTACATGGACGGCAGGTAGAGCGAGTCCTTGGCACGATGTTGCAGGGCTGCCAGTTTTGACACTTGCTGAAGCTGCTGCTCACTGGCCATACCCTGTGGGACAACATTGAGCAGCCCTTTCAAGTAGTCAGGGGACACCTGCAATATATGAATGAAGATCAGATTAGTAGCCTAGACAGCGATAACTTAGATCAAAACAAGAACAAATGCCTTAGATCTTTGTAACTTATGAAACAAGCAGCACAAAACATGAAAGGAATGTCTGGGAAATTGAATCAGTCTGACTGATATACCTGATTGTAATGCATAGTGACTCCGAGCTCGTTGTCAAACTTTAGTGGCTGCGTCCATATCACTCTTCGAAACCACAGACTGTAGTTGCTATCAACGCGTTCAGCCTCTGTAGCAATATCCAAGATGTACTCCCTTTTGTTCAGAGGCCGGACATTCTGACCTGGAGAAAGGGTGAGAACACATGAAAAAACAGCTTGTATTACTTGTAGCTACTGAAAAAAAAATACTTAAACTATGTGTTTTTTCCTTTTTGTCATCTCACCTCTGTTTGTGACAACAAATACAGCATATTCATCCAAAGCCTCAAGTTTATGCAGACCCATCTCATAGCACAGCTCTTCAATGGCATCCAGAGCCACCTTCAAAGTAACAAGAGTGAATTAGAATCAAAAGTTTCCTACTAAATGAATATGATTGGTCAAGCTGCAATAAATATCACAGAGGCAACTTACTGAGCAGGTTTTGATCTTTAGGTGGCGTTCAATTCCACCAGGAAGAAGAAACAACTGGCGCTTGGAGCTCCTTCCAGCCTTGAAAACAATTGTGCATAATTAAAGGGTTAGTTCACCCAAAAATGAAAATTAAGTAATTAATTACTCCCTCATGCTGTACCAATCCCGTAAGACCTTTGTTCGTCTTTGAAACACAAATTAAGATATTTTTGATTAAATTTGAGAGCTGGATTAGGCACCCTAATGGTGTGTTTACACCAAACGCGAATAGAGTGTCAAATACGCGTCTATCGCATCTAGTTTGTTAAAAAAAAAGTTAAAATTTTTCAACTTGTGCGGAAGACATTCGCGACAAACGCGTCGCCCAATTCGCGTCATTCGCAACGCCCGGCGCGAATGACGCGTCTATTCACGTCTTTGCATTGACTTTGTATGTAATCTACTCGCGCAAATAATAAAATTTGTGTTCGGTGTGAAGACACCATAAGGGATCGAAACTTGACGGCCCAGAAAGTCATTGAAGGAAATGTTTAAATATTCCATGTGACTACAGTGGCTCAACTATAAGTTTATCAGGCGACGAGAATACTTTTTGTGCGGAAAAAACAACAACAAAAATAACGACTTTAATCGACTATTCCTTTTCTTCCTTCTGGGCCTGAGACGAGAGTTCAAGAGATTTCCACTACGAATGCGCGAGAACGTAAGAAGTAGTAGGAAAATAACGTAGTTCTCATAGGGTGCCTATGTGGTAGTGATACATCTCTCAAATTTAATCAAAAATATCTTCATTTGTGTTCTGAAGATGAACGAAGGTCTTACGGGGTTGGAACAACATGGGGGTGAGTCATTACCCAGATAGCAAACTGACATTGAATCAACGTGGAAACATGACATCGAAACAACGTTGATCTGACATTGTTTTGCTCATCGAATTAACATTGAACCGTCGTCATTCTTTCAAAACTAGCGGAAAATAAACTTGAAATCAACGTTGTTTCAACGTTATGAAAGCAAACCAATTTTCAATTTTCATTTAGCTTTGAAAAATGCCGCGTCTGACGTTGGTTCAACGTTAATTCGATGAGCAAAATCAACATTGTTTCGATGTCATGAGAGACGTCGTTTCCACGTTGATTCAATGTCAGTTTGCTGTCTGGGGTAATGACTTAATTTTCATTTTTGGGTGAACTATCCCTTTAAGCACAGATTGGAGAAAATGTGACTGAAATTAGCATTGATATTTGCTTATGTGCAACTAACCAGCATAGCTTTCAATTCCATCCCATTAGGATGCTCAACACGTCCACCGTATTGGAACGTCTTCCTTAGGTTCTGCTCACAAGCCTTGGCAATGCCTATCAACGTATCGTGTTATTTGTAATCATCAGTTAATATGTAATCAGTGTAATTGTAACATGATGTAGGCAAAATACCTTGAAAGTGCACCCCGGGACTTGCACAGACATCCTGAAGGTGTTTAAGCAGGTAAGGCTTGAGCGCCTCTGAACACTTGTAGAATGCAGTGAGGATGTACAGCAGCCTCCAGCCCCTCTGACAACTCTCCCTGCGAAACACAGCAAAGATCACCTGTTACTCTGCTTGGCACATTACAATGAGTCCTGCATGGTTCGCTCATTCAGAAAAACGCAAGCTTATACGTCTTGGAGCTGGTGTTTCCAGTGATCTGCTTGAGGACTTGGCAGTACGCTTCATCCTTCATTAATCCGTATTCGCCACTCAACTGCAACAGAGATTGGGTTCATATCAGAGTGGAATTGAAGACATTAAGCACATTCCTGTCTGGTATCTTAATATTTCATGATGACAAGACTTGTTGGGCTATTTAAAGAGTTGTATACCCTTAGGATGGTGCTCACAACGTCCTGCTCGGCCTGACCTTTCATTGGGTAGTCTCCCATAAACTTCATTATAGCTGAAGGATAATCATCATTGAAGTCGTATTAGATAGTAAACATTAAAAACAATTGATGACAGAAAAAAAATCTGCTTACCAAGAAAAATCTCTCCAGCTACTCTGTTCATATTTTCATCAGTGAACTCGATCAGGGACTCTTGAATTGGAGACTAAAAAAACAAAGCAAAAATCAATTCGATTATGCATAAAAAAGCTTCATAGAATATATCAACCATGTTTACCATTATTATTATATAAAGGTATATTAAAATCATATAAAATGTATTTAAAGGAAGCATGGATTATTCACCCTAGATCCCCAATGTGCAATTAATTGATGAATCATTCTTTGAAATGGTTCTATTCACTGAATGATCCAATTTTGGCGAATATTGACTTAAAATATTCCTCACACAAAGCTATCATATGACTTTAGTAGCCTTGAAATATAGTGCACAAGATGCATGTGCTACTTTTATGATACTTGTATGTTTTATAAAGCTGAAAAGCCTCAATATCTGTTCATTAAATTACACAATGAATCAATTACACAGTATACTTATTTTAAATGAACTATACTCTTTTAAGAACCTCAATGTTTCAAAATTGATAGTATGGTATGTATCCTGTACCTTGGAAAATTTCACCATTTCTGACGGTTCTCTGGATTCCTTTGTCTTCTTTGACTTTTTCTTATATGAATCACTGCAAAATCCAAGCATATGTCAGTATATTCATTATATTTTCTTAATTCAGCTATGCAACTGTGAGAACCTGAGCTCGCAATGCTCCATGATGTAATCAACAGACCCGTTGTTTCTCTGGGCCCCTCTGAAATATTTCTTGGCAAACTCCACCATGTTGTACTGGCTGTCTTGAAAGATTCTCTCATCGATGTCCATATCAGCACTGTCTGTAAAGGCCTCTGCATACTCACTGACAGGAGACGCCACCTAGAGGTTTGATGCGGTGACACAACGGCTCACAGAATCATCTATGGCACATATAAATCAGGATTTAAATGCCCGTGAAGCACACATACCTCAATGGACCGGCCCAGTTCATGGGCTGCGGCAGCGGACCCCACAGCTACAGCCACAGCGGCCGAGGCGGCCACGCGCCCCTGCTTATTCTTGGGCTCCTCTTTCTTGTCCACAGGAATGCTAATGAAGTCAGGAGCAGCCACTGGCTGTACAAACTCCACAGGAAAAACCCCAGATCGTCCATGAATGGCCCCAAACTTCCAGCCTTTGCACAAAACAAGACATGGTGTGTGAAAATTGGCGTGTGATGGTAGTATAGAAGAGCCTGTATAAAAAGCATCAGTGAAACCATCATGCAAAGAGAAGGAAGACCGTTTCTATACATGCAACTACAGTAGGGATGCATAAATTCAGATAAATCTGCAAACCAGAAATTCAACTGTAATGACACTGCTAAGTGCACATCAAGAAACCCCCAAAAAGCACTCCATGCAGGTTCAACGCATGACCCACCAAAATCAGGTGTGTCTCTTTTTAACTCCTCCAGGAGAATCACCTTCTTTTTCACTATGCAACCATAACACTGGCCTGTGAAACAGCCACAGAGCCAGCAGTCAAAGTTAGGGCTTAGGTGGACAAGTTTCACCATTTGACAATACTATTTAGCTGTAAAAGTTTGCTGTCAGTACACATTAAATTCATCATAACGACAGTTGACAATCACAGGAAACAGGATGTATGTAGGTCAATGAAAAGAAAAGATTTTCAAAATGATTAAGAAAAAAGTAACAATTACCTAGTAAAATTAAAGTAATCTAGTATATGCATTTTCCAGTTTATTTTTGTAAAAAAAAAATAATGAAAATGAAAATGAAAAGAGGTTTAATTCATTATTTTAAAACATGTTCATCACGGAACAGCTTCATCAAGTTGTTTTATGTATAAAAAAACAGTTTATTTTAACATTTTTTCAACAAATGAACAGATTATTGACCTTCAAGTGATATCTTAATTATTTAGGCTCTTTTTTCCCCAAATATAACGAGTAGTGTAAGGTATTCATGAGCACTTTTGGTTTAAAGCAGTCTCACCTGCATCCAAGCCTTCCATTTTCTGCAAGCGTATGATGTCTCCCTTGTGGAAACTCAGCAGCGTTCTGTCATCTGTAATGTAATTACGCACAGCAACAACATAGTCTGAGTCCTAGAGCGAGAGACAGAGAGCACAATTAACAAACCGCACTACAGCCAATCATCCCCGAAGTGAATCAATATATGAGGGAACTGACCTTTTTCAGCTCTGTGATAAAGTAGTCAATCATAGTTTTAACCTGAGGAGCTTTGGCAGAGAACAGAATCAGTTTCTCATTGGTGAGGTTGAACTCCAACATGTTTTTGGAAGGAATGGTGACAAACATGATGTCTGTATAGCTGTAAGATCATAACAACAAAGAATATTTATGATGGTGGTACTGTATCTTTAATTAAACTCATTAAAAATACGAATTCATTAAAAACAATGACAAAACACAGACATTAAAAGCCTCAGCAACTGGTACCTGTAGGGTCGTAGAACCCTGAAGTAGTCTGGGGCTACTGCACTGCTCCTGACCATTTTCAAAAGCTTGATTCCTCTATGAGATACAGACAGCACCTGGACCCCTGTGCCAACACTGCCCTGTTCAGGACAAGAACAGGAACATTTGTAGGCTTATCTAGTTCAGTAATGAATCTTTAGATGGTGCAATGCTAGTGATGGAGTACTCGAGTCCTGGACTCCGACTCGAGTCCGACTCGAGACTCCATTCTCTGGACTCGTGACTCGACTTGGACTCCCGGACTGATGGACTCGGACTCGCATTACAAACCGAACCATTACAGTTGGACCATTTTTCCTGCCGACCAAAATCTGCACTGGCGCAACCACCTAACGTTGTGCAACATCAAATGGCAAAAAATGAAAGTGGAACGAAACTCATTTTGTGCTTCTCGGACCTTTATCAATTTGGACCATCAACAACAGTGCAGCGCGAACCGATCTTGATCGAGCCGATCTTGTTGGGCTGCCAACTCTCACGCATTGAGCATGAGACTCCCCCGATTTCTCACGCTGAAGTGAGAAATTGGGGGACAAGCCGGTCCCGGCCGGTTGTCCCCCACAGTGAAAGGTAAAACTTCCAAAATCTCAGTGTAAACAATGAATGACGTACACGCACGGCACAAGAGATCACTTCCGTGGCTTTCCGGGCGTTCGACCGTTGCGCTTGCGCAGATCGAAGCGCCCTCGCCCTCAGATCACTTGGACGTGGCTGTGAATACAAGAGGTAAAAACGATATAAATACTAAAAACGTTTCTCACAAAAAACGCTCATTTCGTGTCTTAGGCCATCAATGTGTACTTACATTTACGAGTCATTAAATCATGTTTAATTTGGACTTCTCTGTGCATGCTCTTTGAGGTGGTGGCCATAGACCTCCATTATATGACTGGCAACAACGGTTTGACCTAAAAATATTAAAATTGAAGCTACTGTGGTAACAAAGACACCTACATCTTGGATGCCCTTGAGGTAAGCAAAAATTAATTTCAAAGTGAACTATCCCTTTAAATTCTCTTCTCCCAGAAATGTAGCACATGAAAGAGAAACTCCTACAAATGTATGCGCAATAAGGCAATAACTGTGCAATAAGGTCAGACGCAAAAATAACTGTGTCCATGCCTTTTCAGTGCTAATTTTTCACTGTGTGTCTTAAGTAAATCCTGACAGTAGTTTTTTAACACCAAAAGAGGGTTTGCGCTGGTGCAAGCTGTTAGTAAATCTGGCTCTTAATCCGTCATAAAATGCCAAAACTACTCTGAGAGTTGTCATGATTAAACTAGCATTATGAAGCAGCAAATGCCCAGTGAAAACATTAGAATATATTATGATGAGTTTTGGATGCTGACGTGCCAGATATGACTACATTCCTTTCAGCCAGTTTCACCAGAACCTGAGCTCATTCAGTAATTTTACAATTTACACTTTGTGAACAGTGTGTTATGCAGAGCCACCAGAAAAAAAAAAAAAAACAGCCCTAACCAACATAAACCAGCCTGGACCAGCACTGAACTTCAAGCTGGTCCATGCAGATATTTTCAACAGGGATAATCTGAGAGAGATTCCTTACAGATGCTGGGAAGAGGCGTGAGAAGTAGATCTCCCAGGTGTCTCTTGCGGCAACCACAATCTTCTTCTTCACATTTTCATCCTGGATTGTGGCATTGATGTCAACGTTTTGCTCCACTGTCACAAAATAGAAGCCAAAATTTTCCTCCCCACAAGCAAAGTTCACATATCACAAGAGGAAAATGTGTACAGGTATGTGAAACATGAATCATACCAAAAAGGGATTTCATCTTCTCCCTTTCTTCCGTTGTAATGCGAATGCAAGCCTCTGAGAATGTGTCATGAACAATCTGAAAGTTTCATTATAATTACGGTTAATAAAAGTAAAAACAATCACAAATCTATACACTATCATTCAAAAGTGAAAAGAGATTTCCATTTCAAATAAATGCTGTCCTTTTGAACTTTATATTCATTAAAAAATCCTGAAAAAAAATGTTACAGTTTCCACAAAAACTGTTTTAACATTGATAATGATAAGAAATATTTCCTGAGCACCAAATCAGCACATTAGAACGATTTCTGAAGGATCATGTGACACTGAATTACATATTAAAATGGAAAACAGTTATTTTAAATTACAACACTGTAATTTTCACAATATTATTGATTGTACTGTATTTTTGATCAAATAAATCTGACTTTGTAAGCATAAGAGCAAAAAAAAAAAAGTCCAAACCTGCTTAAACAAGAGGTCTAGTATCAGCGGGTGGTTGAAGCTGTCTTTCGGATAAAAAACCTAAAACCACACAAAAGTATTGTTAATGTTTCATAATTATTTCCATATTTTAGCATAACAGCACTGTATCCCATTGACCCAATACAAAACAAATGACACTAGCCTCTTTCCTCAAGTAGATTTTCCAGGGTACATTGGTGTAGGTGTAGTGCTCTTCACTGCTCCTCTTGTGCAGCTGAGTCTGAATATTCTCCTCTTCAACTGGAAGTTCTCTAGATACTGTAATGTGACACACCACCGTTACGTTACAGCCATGCTAATATGGTTTCTTTATCTGAATGAAATGACACAGATGATCTGAGTTTACCAGGAGCGGGAGCTGGGAATCTCTGACTGACAGCTGGCACAGGAGGTGATCGCTTCGTTTTTATGCTTTTTGCTGGTTTTAGTGGCCCATGGTGGTCATAATCAAACTCCTTTGCAGAAGACGAAGGAGAAACTGGAGTGTAGGTTTTCTTTTGCTGATAGTTTGGGACATGAACACATCAGGTTTAACCGCAATGATAACGCTGATACTGATAATACTTTATACCACGTTAACTCACTGACAGTTTATCTGTAAATTAACTATGACTGATTTACCTGTGAAGGTGGAGCACTCATCTGGTCCTTAAGAATCAACATAGCTTCGTCATGGGGGTCTGGTTTCCTCAAAAACACTTTAGCTTCCCTCCTGTATTGAAGACCAGTGAAGGTAGAGCTTTAGCCTTTGTTCTGTTCTACTTTAATGATCTCTTTTGATTAATATTTCATTCATGTTTTGTTATAAGGTCCGGGAGAACATTGGTTTGCTGTGTCTCAGTTTTCAGTTCAGGTCATTCAGTATTAATGAATGTGGAACTGCCGCTCAGATCTAAACATGTTCAGTTCTCGTTCTCACCTGGGCAACTCTGCTGGTTTTACAGGGTTAGTCTGATACTGCTTGATAATGTCTTTGATGTTGTGACTTGGCTCTAAGTGTTCTGTGTTTGAGATAGTGCCTCTCACCAAGTCCCCCGCTGGTGGATCCCTCCTAGTTGGGCCTTTTGGAAACATAGCCAAACACTGATGAAATAGTAACGCTTTACAATAAATGTACATTGCTTAACATGAACTAACAATGAAAAATATTTGTAAAGAATTTGTTAATCTTAGTTATAATTATTAAAATGTAAATATATATATATATATATATATATATATATATATATATATGTCTCTGTTCATATAATTCAATGCACCAGAGCTAACAAAGTACAGTTGTGTTTTATTAACTAACATTTATTTTTGTTAGCCATTGTTGGCTAATATTAGTTAATGCGTTAAAGGAGTAGTTCACTTTAAAAAAAAAACTTTTGCTGATAATTTACTCACCCCCATGTCATCCAAGATGTCCATGTCATTCTTTCTTCAGTCGAATAGAAATTAAGGTTTTTGATGAAAACATTCCAGGATTTTTCTCTATATAATGGACTTCAATGGGAACCAAACGGTTCAAGGTCCAAAAGACACTTTCAGTGCAAACTGCAAACTGTTCAGATGGGCTTTAAACGATTCCAGACGATGAATAAGGGTTTCAGCCCATTCTCACCCCCAAGGCGTCACTTAACTGACAAGACTAAAAGACTATCATGCTTCAATATCTGACGCTTTAGGCGCCCTTTAGCGTCAGTTAGATGACGCCCTAGGATCGCGTGTACCCTACCCCCACCCCACACCTAAACCTAACCGCGTCCTCTAACTGACGCTTTCCTTTAGGGCGCCTAAAACATCAAATATTGAAGCATGGTCAAAGGTGACGCCTTGGGGTGAGAATGCGTTGAGGGTTTTTACAAGCGAAACGATCGCTCATTTAAAAAAAATAACAAAGTTTAAGTTTTATAAGCTCAAATGGTCGCCTTGCTCTGTTCTGTGGTGTGAGTTTGTGACTCTCCTCTTCGAACTCATTTATCAAAATGAACAAATCTTTTCCTGAGTCAATTCGTTTATTTCGTTCGTTGAATGAACCAAATGACTCAAAAAAAGATTTGTTCATTTTGATGAACGAGTTTGAACGAGAGTCCGAAACGTGCATCACAGAACAAAGCAAGGCGACCATTTGAGCTTATAAAGCTTAAACTTTGTTATTTATTTATTAAATGAGCGATTGTTTTGCTTGATAAGACCCTTATTCATCGTCTGAAATCGTTTAAAGCCCTTTGAACAGTTTGCAGTTTGCACTGAAAGTGTCTTTTGTACCTTGAACCGTTTGGTTCCCACTGAAGTGCATTATATAGAGAAAAATCCTGAAATGTTTTCATCAAAAACCTTAATTTCTTTTCGATTGAAGAAAGAAAGACATGGACATCTTGGATGACATGGAGGTGAGTAAATTATCAGCAAAAGTTTTTTTTTTAAAGTGAACTACTCCTTTAAATAATAGAACCTCGTTGTAAATTGTTACCTGTGAAATAATCATTTTAATAAGTGAAATTAAGCATGAAGGCATACAGATTGAAATAGTGACGTACTATACTGTCTCTGTGAAGGTTTCTGTGGTGGGGAAGCAGGGGTTGGTTTGTAGGAAACAGGTCCAGTTTCTTGTTTAGTCTTCAAATAAGATACATGACCAACAACATGTTTGTTTTAAAGTATCAACTGTTCAATAGTATGTTTTGAGGAAAAAAAATCAACCACCATTCAAAAGTTTGGGGTCAGTAAGATTTTTTTTTAAAGAAATTAATACTCAGCATAAGTGCATTAAACTGATCGAAAGTGACAGAAAAGGCATAATGATACAAAAGATTTTAATTTCAAATAATTATTTTGAACTTTATACAACTGTCGACAAATGTCTTCAATACTAATTATTATAATAATAAAATGTTTCTTGAGCAGCAAATATTCATATTAGAATGATCTCTGAAAGATCATGTGACACTGAAGACTAGAGTTTTTTTATTTATTTATTTTTTTTATTGCATGCTGAAAATTCACCTTTACCATCACAGGAATAAAATATATGAATAAAGAAAACAGTTATTTTAAGTTGTAATAATATTGCTATTTTTACTACATTTTTAATATAAAAAATACACCCCTGTTGAGCATTGGAGACCTCTTTCAAAAACATATCTCACTGACCCCAATACTGTATGTGGAAATGTAAAGTTCTAATATGACGTCTATCTGTGTCATTATAATAAAGCTTTGACTTGATTTCTAATGATCCATATAGTAATCAGTGCTCAGAGATACTCACAGGACTGTACTGGCTGGAGCGGGGAGCTGGCACATGCTCGCTGTGTGTGTGGTGCGCTGAATTATACATCTGCTGCTGAAGGGCCATGGCCTGCATTGTCATCTGCTGAGCCTGTCGTACATTACATTAGCTCGCTATTCAAACACATTTAGTATTTTGCTACAAGTCTAAGCCATGCTTTGTTTGCTCACCAATATAATCGCTTGCTGGTTGATGATGGCTTGCTGTTGCTGTGCTATGACAGCTGGATCTGCACATTTAAAGATTTAAATAAGCACAAAATCAAGCGAATGTACGCACAGAAATAAACAGTGCAGTGTTTAAACAATTATCCCAGAGAATCAATCACCGCCAAGCGTCATTATATAGAAGGACTTAAGCAGCATTCATACCTGACATATCAGGCATTGGTGGCACATTAGGCAAAGCTGGCAAAGGTGGCATAGCAGGCAAGGCTGGCATAGAAGGCATTATGGGTACTGAGGGTACGGCGGTAGGGGCATGAGGCACAGAGGGCATAGCTGGCATAGGTATAGGTGGCATCATTGTTCCTCCCATAACAGGTAGAACTGGCACCGCTGAGAACAGTAAATATGGCTATGGATCAGTAAGCAATGATCCCTTTCACATATCTTAATCAAATGATTTAATGCAAGTTGGCTAGGATTTTGGCGTGAAACCCAATTAGCTGTGCCAACCAACTAATTAAATAAACATGAACAATACTGCTTAAAGTGAAATAAACACCTAGCAGCTTTTTCATATAAGAAATATTCTGTATTTTATTATTTTAAATAATGTGACTTAAAGTGTTAAACAGTCTGATTAAATTGATTAATATATATATATATATATATATATATATATATATATTATTTAGCTTGAGGTGTGATATATATCACATATATGTGTGTGTGTGTTACTGTTTAATTTGTTTAAAAAAAATAAGAATAAAGAATTAAGTAAAGTTTCAGACTTTTTGTTGATGTGATTAGAAAAATGTCTTGTAAACATAGCAAAAGTTGTCATCAGCTAGTTATTTTTAAGTATTTTTTTGTACACATAAGTATATGAAGAACATTATTGGCACCCATTTTGTAATACCAATCACCAAAAGCCACAGTCAAAAACAAAAACAAAACAAAAAATCCCCAAAGAATTAAAGCAATCGAATTGTAAATTGGTTATTTATCATGCAAAGCATTGGTAAATGTGCAGTTTACAAAAATTAGCAATTCTGAATAGCAGGCAATTAACTGCTTTTAGGTCCAAATTAACCCTAGTGTGTACCCATGCATAATTGATGTGTGGTAAGAAGAGGACAGAAATAGGACAGATGCAGAACTCACCACCAGGCTGCAGTCCGGGGGGATAAGGCCTGCTGGAGAGGGGCTTCACTATGTCACCATCCTCCCCTCCAATCCCGCCAGCTCCCTTCATACGGCTAGACATGCTGGATGACTTCTCAAAATCCTGGAGATAAGGCAAAGCAAAACAGGCTCTCAACTCAGGGCTGGACCCTTCCAAGCTCAGTCATACGAGAAATCAATCTCCCCATGGGAGTACCTTATACTCTCTAAGAGGGGCATAGCTTATTTACTATCGCAACTGTGACAGAGCCATGCATGCTGCATAGACCACAGGAGTCTGTTTTCCCTTACCAGTCTAGGATCTTTAAGAGAGCAAAAAAAAGTGTATACATATACATTTCCATATGTATTTATGTATACTTCATTTTAAACTAACTATTCCTTTGCGACTGAAAAGGTTTCAGAGCTTATTTTTTAAGTGTCCTAAAATAATAAATATATAAACCATTCCACTGCCATACCTCTTTAAGTGTTTAAAAACACCAGAAATCATTTCGAAATTAAGGGAAGAAAATTAAGTATGCTCAATGCTGTGAGAAATACGGTAAACCGGTAACTTAATCACCTTCATTGCAGGGGACCTGGCAACCATAGAGCACATTGATATACTCAATCACTTGCACCATGTGGATCAAGTGGCCAGTTGTGTTCTTCATGCATTCATGTTATATTTGTAAGCTCCTTTCCATAAATACACTGATGAGCCAAAACATTATGATAAGTCACAAGTGAAGGATTTCCTAACAAGACCACAAATTTAAGGTTTCGGTAGATTAGATGGAAAGCAGGGATAAAGATCTGCACGATTTTGACAAGGGACAAATTGTAATGGCCTGACGAATGGCTCAGATTATCTCTGAAACGGCAAGGCTTGTGGGTTGCTCCCAGTCAGCAGTGGTGAGAATTTACCAACAGTCGTCCAAGGAGGGAAAAATCTGTGACAGGGCCACGAGGGCAAGGCTATCCCATCTGGTCCAAGCCAGAAGAAGGTCTTTGTTCTGCTGGGAAACCACGGGTACAGCCATTCATGCGAATGTACATTTGACACATTGTTGCAGACCAGGTAGATGACAATGGTGTTCCCTGGTAGAAGTGGTCTCTTTCAGCCGGATAATGCACCTGCCACACTGCACAAATTGTTAAGGAATTGTTTGAGGAACATGATGAGGAACTCAAGGGGTTGACCTCCAAATTCCCCAAATCTCAATCCAACTGAGCACCTGTGGGATTTGCTGGACCAACAAATTTAATCCACGGTGGCTCCCCTCACAACCTACAGGACTCGAAGGATAACGTCTTGGTGCCAGATACTACAGCACACCTCCAGGATTCTTGTAGAGTCCATGCCAGGACCAACAGCACAGTAGGCAGGTGGTCATAATGTCATAATGGTGTAGTTAAACATCTATTACATTTACACTTGTTAAAAACTCATGAACTCTTGCTGAATTGGGGGAGTGAACAAGAGAAACTTACCCCATTACCATCAGAAAGCACTGGGTCAAACAGGCTGTCGAGATATCTGTCCATGCCTTTCTGAGTTGGTGCTTCACTGAAGTCTGATTCTATTTTTTCACAGTTTTTGAGAAAAAAAATAGAAATCATGCCAATAGCATTGTACGGAATATGTAAAATGAGCTTAAAAGCTAGACAAAAAGAAAAAGAAGAAGTAAGGAAGCAGCTGACCGTGGCTGTAATAGCCATCTGAATCTGGGAGACTGGTGCTCAGCATTGTCTGAGGGAGCAGAAGTGAGTTGTCATCATCAGAATCAAATCCACTTCCAAACAGAGCCCTGGGAAAAATCATATTGAGGGTAAAGTATTAGATTCAGGGTTACACTTTATTTTGATAGTCACTTTAGACATTCTACTAATTATAAGTAACTGTTCAACTACATGTCAAGTAACTGTCATTAGAGTATTAGTATATTATAGTAGACTGTCAGTAGACTGTTAGGTTATGGTTAGGTGTTAGGCTTTGGGTTAGGAGAATAAGTTTACTTGTAGTCGCCAAGTTACTTATAGTCAGCTGAATGTCTGTTGGGGGACCAACAAAATAAAGTGTTAGCAGATATTAAGCGGACAGTCTACTAATAATATAATAACAGTTAGTTGACGTGTAGTTGAAAAGTTACTTATAGTTAGTAGAATTTCTAAAGTGGACTATCGAAATAAAGTGTTACCAGATTCAGTAACACTACAAAGACACTGCAAAAATATTTCCCCTGAAGTAAACCATACAATGTATTTTTTTGCTTATCAAAAACAAATAATCATAAAGAAATATGCAATATGAATCACCAAAATAGGTGTCATTGTAAAGTTCAAATCAAAATCAGTCAGGAAAGAATTCACCAAATTTTTTTTTTAATATTAATTTTTACTATTTGTATCTTAAAGGTGAAGTTTGTAATTTATGTGTCACCAGCGGCAATAAACAGAATTTAAAAATGGCTGTTTTAAGCTATTTTCAAACACTCCCGGCCACTGTCAGTCATTAGTTTGGTGCCACAGAAATTAAACACTCACATTTAACTCACTTTTAAACAGCATGCAACGCGGATCTATTCAATTACAATTAATATTTATGATCATGTCTCACATTAGTGTGCATAACCCATTTCCAATGTAAATAAAAAGACTATCATGTAGATACTGACAGGCTGGCATTGGGCCTGGTTCTGGTGGGACTCTCGGCGGAGATGATGAAGTAGGATTTTTGCTTTGGAAAATTTCTCATCAGTTCCATGTCTGCGATCAAGTCCATTACGTAATCGTGCCCTGCGAGCTCCGCCCACTGTCCGTGCTCCTTCATGACAACAGAGCACCCCTTCCAGGCATCGTTCACGCCCCTGTGGAGCCAATTAATGGGGCTATTCATTTCAGGCAAATTACAGATGAATAATGAAGGCCTCATTATAGACAACATGGCCAATAGAAAGAGCATGAACTAATGACATGGATTACAGCATATTAAAAAGCTTGTTATGAAGATAAATGGATGGATGAATGCAAAATCAAAGATTGTGAGTTGGATGACTCGAGGAAAGACTGGAACAAGTGATAACATAAAATGGATGGTTTGTGCACGGTCACATACCTGTGCTGTAGAATATCTGCAGCCAACTCCTCCCCACTCGTCCAGGAGTGCACAGGGCACAGGGAAGATGTCCCTGTCAATAAAACACGATGTTTAACAGCTGTGGTTTGACAGGAGTGAAGACTACATGCAAATTACTATTTCTAAAGCACCACCACAGATCATGTATCACCTGATATATAGATGGGCATTACACAATTGTCTCCAGAGGGTTTTGAGGAACAAAAGAAACTGCCAGGCAGATTTAGGGAGATTATAGAAATGGAAGAGCCTTTCAGAGCTTTCTTTTAGTGTTTTGTGAGCTATCCTTTGTGTTTGTATCCTTATGCAAGTCTGAATATCTCTTTCATTCCAAACAAGGGCAATATTCTCCTTTCTAATGGACATAAGCTGTTTCCATCACCGTTTTTTGTGCACATTTTGAAGTATCACATCAGAAACGAGTGATGGAAATGGTAAATGGTAAAGCTACACTGTGTACCTCTTAGTTTATTCTTAGCTAAAAACACTTAGTTCTTTCAAAAATATATGTGCTCTTTAATGTATATTTACTTCGTTGAAGTAATAAAGTATTCTCGTGAGTGTATAATATGCCATTGAAAATACATTCGGGTAAGGAGTTCTAATGTCGGTCGCCTTGTTGCCCCTCCATCTTAAAAGTACATTAACCAAAGAGGGACATACCCGTTAAATTCAAGCTTCGCCTTTCGCGATTACGTTTGAGTTAACACTCATGGACGAGGTCGAACTGGAAGCCATGTTAATCTTGGACTACATTGGCCACCATAGGAGTTAAAACGAAATCGGAATTGAGAGGAGCAGAAACTAATATTCACTGGATGGTCATATACCTTTTCACCACTAGATGGGGGTAAAAATCACACAGTGTAGCTTTAAGGATAGAATTAATTTGCAAAAAAAAAGTTTTTACGCTCGCTTGAGGTGTTTTTTGACTTGTGCGAAAAAGAGTTAATGCGAATAATGGGAGATGGAAACACATTTGCCGAATAAATTTCTGACGTAGCGAACAGTAAACCCACGTATTACTAGGTTAGCAATACCACCGTCATCTGATCGAACAACTTGACGGAAACGCGCCTAATTCGAAATTTGTTTATTGTTTATTTGGCGAACTTTGAAAAGGTTCGCTTGACACCCAGCCAGTGTCTTTTTAAATGTGTCTCCAAATATCTATGCTGATTTTTCACAAGTGTTTTATGATATGTTCAGTTTAGGAGTTGCATTCAAGTGCTGAATTACTCAAGGATTTAATTAAGGGTTTATTTTAATTAAACTTTAAGCTTACTGTGATTGAAATTTAGCGTAATGGACGCAGCTGAGTCATGTTCACTTTTTTAATGCAACCCAACCTACATGGCAAACACTGAGTGAAGGTTGCCGAAACTCAAACAGTGAAGGTGAAACTGATACACACCATCAAAACAGTGTACTTGCAAAACCATGTTTGCTTTCTTCCTATTGGCTGTCCATTCCAGCAGGGACAGTGGGTAAGTCCTCGCTGTCTCCGGTCCATACAGAGACTTCTGCATGGCTTGAATGAGCTTCTGTTGGCCGACAGCTTTGAATCCATTATAGGCATGATCTGAGACAAACCTGAAGCCAAAAAGTAATGAATGCTTACAAGTTTCTAATGAACCAACATGAGTACTGGTATGTTGCTTACTTCAGAAGGCATTTCTCAATTTTGGCTGATGGTGCAAACGCACTCAGGCAGGCCAGTAGCAGCAGCCAGCCCCTCTCTGAGTTTTCTGGATTGGTGTTTCTCCAAACCTGATTGGCAATTTGACATAAGATTTCATCCCGCAGACCAGTGTTGGTAAGCCCCTTCTGGATGATGTAGTTCCCAAATAAATTCTCCTGAGCACCATTGAGATGTGGGTCACCCATAAACCTTAAGATCTACAAAGTGAAAGAAGTAATGCTAACAGAGAGTTGAAATCACACTGACTTATGGCTACAACAGCGACATGTTTCTACCCTTAATCTCAATGCAGGTCTGTGTTGAAAGGTTTACATGCTAAAAATCTATTTCTCTATTGAGAAAATTAATAGGATTTATGCTTCCAGAACCAACATTTGTGCTTTAGTCTATTGCATGTAAAATAAATGACAATGGCAAAATCTTCAACAGTACATAATGTAGCGTACCATGACAAAGGCGTCTAGAGCCTCATGTGTGAGATCATCGTCAATGTGTGTTAGTGGTGTCTTCAAAGGTGCAGTTAACATTCCAAACTTAGGCTCCTATTATTAATAATACAAACAAACATACAAATTAATATACAGTATATCAGTCATTCCTGAATGAATATCTGAGTATGAGAGCTTATTTGTGATTTTGGAATACATTACTCATGTATGTCTTACTTTAAAGTGAATCTGGACAAATTTAGAGATAGTGTAATTGTTGATGTCAAGAGGTAGAGTGATCTGTGACTCCACCTGAACGGTGGGAGCCTGGACTAAAGCCAAGCAATCGGAATGGAGCTCCCTACCACCTTAAAAACACAGAGGTGAGAGATGACATGCAGTGTACATTATAAATACATTATATTTACTTTTTATGTGCTACTTTTGAAAAGTCCAGGGTCAATAAGATTTTATGCTCACCAAGACTGCATTTATTTGGTAAAAAACAGCCAAATTATAAAATATGTTTTCTATTTTAATACATTTTAAAAAGTAATTTATTCCTGTGTTGATAAATGATGCTTTTAAGTCTTCAGTGTCACATGATCCTTCAGAAATCAGTCTAATATAATGATTTGCTGTTCAAGAAACATTTCCTATTATCAATGTCAAAAACATTTGGGCTGCTTAATATTTTTGTGGAAACTGTGATGCATTTATTTTCAAGATTCTTTGATGAATAGAATGTTGAAAATAAAGTACTATTTTGTATAAAATATATTTATTTAAGAAAAAATCTGGGCTACACTTTTTTCAGTACTTAGTAATATTAATTATACCTACCTGTACTTACTATAGAGTTAGGATTAGGGTTACGTTTAGGGTTAGTTACTTGTAATTATGCATAATTTACTGTTATTACTATAGTAAGTACATGTAGTAACGTGTAACTATGTCACCTTAAAATAAAGTGTTACCAAAATCTTTTGTAACACTATAAATGTATTTACTGTCAATTTTGATCAATTGAATACACTCTAAATAAAAGTAATTTTCTTTTTTCAAAACCTAATCTTACTGACCCCAAACTTTTGAACAATATAAAATACATATATTTAACGTGAGGAAAATTGGCCTGCAGTACCAGAGGCGGCTTGCAGCAATGCTCCGAGTTCAGCTGGAATGACCAGATGAGTGACGTTGACCACTTCCCGCTTTGACAGCTCCTGCAAATAAAGAAGAAATTGGAAACACTTCACAATAAGGTCTATTTTGTAAACAATAGATAATGCATTGGCTTACATTAACCAAAATTGAGCAATATATTTTTACAGTATTTATTGACCTTTGTTAATGTTAGTTTATAAGTGCAGTGTTAACATAACATCTTAAACATGTATTAGTAAAAGTTTAAATTAACATTTAGTAAGATTAGTATATGCTGTAGATGCATTATTCATTGTTAGTTCATGTTAACCAATGTATTTAATTAATGTTAACAAATGAAACCTTATTGTAAAGAGTTAATGACTATATTTTAAGCAGGGTTTTTTGTAAATTAATTATTCTCCCCATTCTTTAATTATATTTGGTTAAATACTGTAGGCATAAGACATAAACCAAAATGTTTTAAATTTAGACAGTAAATGTCATTATAACCATTTCTATTCTCCTTTGCTCCTCTTCTGCCTTTCTCCTGGCCTCGTATCTCAGCTAAAAGAAAAAAAAAAAAGTAAAACAATTAAAAATGGGATTGCAGCTTATAGCCTGATCACTACGCACTAAAAGTGCATTGTTCTTACCTTAATAAATCTCTTGCGATTAACATACATATGGACCAGAGAGCGTAATTTCACAAGGCTAGCTCTCATTTTCACATATCGCTTCCTGAAAACAGAAAGCAAATTTATAGAAATTGTCAAGATCTAAAACAATTTATTGGATAGAAATTGCTATTTGTGAAAAAAATCAAATAATAAGTAAAAAAATAAAAATAAATAAATAAATCACAAACTAGACAATTCATGTTAATGTATTGGTTATAAAGAAACGCACATCAACAGCAAAGCAATATGTTGCTCAAATTGGGTGCTCAACAAGGAAATTACTAAAAAAGGGAAAAAGTCGTCACATCACGACAATTTAAAGACAGACTCACACACAGATGTTGAGTCTATCATTACTTTTTTCATATTTTTGGAGCCGTGGTGTGCTAACTTTTTCCCTTTTTATAAAGAAAATGTTTAAACAAAGAATTTATTGAAATATAATTATGTTAATTATTATTTTCATTTTTTTTTTTTTTTTACAGATTATCACTCCAAGAGTGAGATTTACTAAACAGCGCAAAGTAGCATGCAGCTGCAATCTAATAAAAGCGCTAATGGGAGTGGAAAGTTCTGCGGGTGATCTATCTACTGCGAATGGACAAATTCAATGTCATGCCAGACAGTTAAATAATGCCACAAATACCAGTAATTTGACTACCTCCACCCTTAATAAACCATGTTGCATGATTCATTTAAATACGCAGTGGCACTTTAGTTTGGGGAACATTTCTGACTATTAACTAGTTGCTTGTTAGCATGCATATTACTAGTATATTGGCTGTTTATTAGTAGTATAAATAATGCCTTATTTTGCATGACCTTATTCTACATCCCTTAATACTACCCAATACCTAAACGTAACAACAACTATACCTAACTAACTATCAATAAGCAGTAAATTAAGAGTTTATTGAGGCAAAAGTTATAGTTAATAGTGAATGTGTTCCTCAAACTACAATGCGACAGATTACTCTCTTCCAATAAATTTAGCGGCCTGACAAGGAAACTCCTACAAATGCATATAAGGACATCTACAAAAATAACCATGCTAATTTATCACTTCGTGTCTTTAGTAAATCCTGACAGTGTTTTTTTAACACCAAAAAGCTGTTAGTAAATCTGGCCCCTAGTTTCTGTAATTAAAAAGTCTGACAATTAGCAACTTTAAGAAATATTGTCATTGACAATAAGGGAGGCTATGGGTCAAAAAGGGTGGTATATAAGATATTATGGTTTATACCTTGTGAGAAAGCCTCGGCAATGGGCCTGCAGCCGTATGATCTTCATGCGGAAGGCTTTATAGCGTTTTCTCACAAAGAACATCCTGGTGTAACGCTGCAGAGTCAGGGCAGCCACATGCCTTACTCTGTCCCTCTTACTCTCCAACAGGAAGTAGACGTCCTCTTTCATGAACAACTAACAAGAAATAAAAGGTGCAATCAAGTACTAAAAAACAAATGTGGAGAGTAGTCTCACATAGCCAGACCTTTCTAATCATAAAGTCTAGTCCACATTGCAGTGATATTTTGGCCATTAACTACAGTACCTGTGGGTGGTCCATGGTGTGACGTCTGGGTCACTGCATGTGATTCTGCCAAGTAAGACATGTTCCTGGACCAACATATTTTGTTGACCCTAGACCCTGAAAATTTAGCCCCTAAACCTAAACTTATCCCTTAAATCAGAGGGAAATGATCAATAAATAACACTGTGGTTGAAGCACCAAACCCTGGTTGTAAGCCTAAACTTGATAAAACTGTAAACTTGTCCCTCAAATCTGATTGGTCAATTGGAAACATGTTGTACTTGGTAAAATCACGTTCACCGTGACGTCTGACGGTCTGAGACAAAACGAATAGCAATAATTGCACTGAATCAGAATCATACACACCTTAGTGACACCGACTTGAAACGATCCTTGTCTAACAGGGCAAAGCTTCCTTAACATGATGACACAGTTTTCACCATTGGCAGGTGGAGGCTGTTTGAGGCCTAGCAGTGATTTATATCTAAATCCAACCGAAAAATTGAGTAATTATCATAATTTTCTTGATATGTTAAAAAACAGATACAAAAGGGAAAAACTTTGTGTTAAAGGGATACTCCCCTTTTTTGGGAAATAGGCTTATTTTACCGCTCCCCCAGAGTTAAATAGTTGAGTTTTACTGTTTTCAAATCCATTCAGCCGATTTTCTTATATTTAGAAGAATATCAGTAACCAGACAGTTTCTGGTCTCATTGACTTCCATAGTAGGGAAAAAATATACCATGGAAGTCAATGAGACCAGAAACTGTCTGGTTACTGTTATTCTTCTTAATATCAAAAAATTGACTGAAAACATTAAAAAACGGTTAAAACCCAACTGTTTAACTCTGGGGGAGTGGTAAAATGAGCCTATTTCCAAAAAAAGTGGAGTATCCCTTTAATGGCCTCAGACGTGTTTGACCTGTCTAGGTCTTACCTGAAAAGGAAGACATCAAATGGCATTCTGATCGGATAGCCCTCTCTCCTGATTCGAATGGTTTCTAAAATCCCAGAGTAGTTAAGTTGGGCACTGACCAGCTCCATGTCAAACACAGCAGGCTCCTGCAAGGTTACATACTCTCTCAGTGGATTTCAATTCAAGCCAAGATATAAGCAAATAGCTTTACCCCCCCCCCCTGAACCCAGTGATTGTGGTTCTTTACCTTGTTCTGATTTGGCTTTATGCATCGCACAAAATATGGGTTGGCTCTGTATAAGTACAAAATGGAAAGAAGTAGTTGGTGATAGAAAAACTTACCAATCTCATGTACACAGCGTAATGCACAATTTAGGTGGTCTACCTCTCCATCTTTTCAATGAGCTCCATGAGGGATTGTTGGAACTTGGCCGCCACCGTTGAGGCCTGATGGCGCCGTGTTACTGTGCTGTTCTTCCCAACATGAGATCTCTGCTGGTTGAGGGTCTCAGCATAGCTCATAAACAGATATGCAACCATCTAAAACCACAGCGAGATATGAGTCAGTTTATTGGGGTCATTTCATTCCAGACTCACGCTAGTTAAATCATTTCTCTTACCTTGTTTTTGCTATGAATAAAAAGGTCAAGAACATCCTGGCGAACTTGATCGTAATTCTTATCCAGAAATTTATGGACCTGCGAAGCGTGTTTTCAATCACAAAACGTTTGGTCTATTCCTCCACAAATACTTTATAGGGAATAATTAAAATGTTTGATGGTTCAAGACAAGTAGTTTAAATGCACCTGATAGGAGACCTTCCCAGCGAAATGCTTGATAGTAAATTCAGGGAGAGGCATTTTTGGCTTGGAATACAGTGGATTGTTGCCATGGTGATAGTGGCATTTCTGAAGGAAGGTATGGTCTGTAGCCTAGAGGAAATTTGTTCAAAAGGAAGTTAATTAAAATGCAAATGTTGCAAACTAATAGTGTGATGAATACAAGAACATCAATGAACATTGAGAAATGACACCTGTGGAAACCCGCTCTGATCATCAAGAATCCGGAGTATCCCATGGGGCTTTGCTGCAATGAGGTCTATGCAGGCCTGGTTGTCAGAGAAAGGTACCTCTTCCCAGTTGATTTGCTCTCTGCTATATTCATCCTTGCACATTCAAAAGAAAATCATTTTTTTCAGATGCATACCACATACAGTTTCTCAGAAGATTAGAGTAAACACAGACACAGCTTACTTGTTCTTCTTTAAAAATGACCCTGTTGAAAAAGAACTGAAGGTACTCATTTGCATAATTTATGCAAAGCTGTTCAAAGCTGTTGAAGGTGAGATCCTACAAAGCACAAAAAAAGTGAGATTCAGTCGAATGCAATCCAAATTTTACCGCAATGAAGTGTATTAGCAAAATCTTTTACTGTCGCGGGAAAACAAGTTACAGCGCCTAACCTCAAATCCATAGATATCAAGGATGGAGATGGATAGTGCTTCGTTCCGAGGATAAACCTGCGTATTTATTCTGTCTGTTAGCCAGCTGAACAGAAGGGAATACAGGATCTTGGCAACTGCATCTCTGTTATGTTAGAGAGGGAAAATAACCATCTTTTGATTACCTCAATGGTCAATGCAGAGAAAGTAGTATTTTTAATGACACTGATTTTAGTTCTAATACTCTAAATCTTAATATTCATTACTTTCATTTTTTCAATTCTGTATTTAATTCTTGCTCAGTCTAAGGAAAAATCTGAGTGGCTAAATCTGTACTGCAACAGCGATTTTAGTTTTGTAATGAAGTATTTTTTTTTCTTAGAAGCTTTTAGAAAATATACAAGTAAAATAAAAATAGAATAAAAATACAATTCAAAACAATATGAATTTTTTATGGAAGCTTGTTTATGCCATGGAATAAAAAATAAAAAAGATTATTGTGACTTTTTATTTCACAATTCTGACAAGAATTGCGAGAACATAAAAATCGGAATTGTGAGGGGGAAAGTTTGAATTTTGAGAATTACCTTTTTAATTGGAAATTCATATCTGCAAAATCACAATTCTGACATTTTTGTTCTTGCATTTTCTGAATTTATATCTCCCGATTCTGAGAATAAAAGTTAGAATTGCCCTTCTAAACTCTGAATTTTAAGACAAGGTTTAATTCTCAGTGAGATTTTAACTCTCAATTCTGAGGGGAAAAAAGTACAATTTTTTAAATATAAATTTGTAACTGGAAAAAAATTATAAAAAAGTTACCTTTTTTATTTTTTTTATTCCGTGATGGAAGCAAGCTTCCAATTGTTTTTATTTGAAAATATTTATTTATTTGGAAATTAGAAAAGTCTAAGTGTAAGCATATAGAAATGCTTTTTAGGAGTTTCCCTTACCTGGCATCGATTGCACTCTCAACAGTCAGGGGCGTGTAGATCTTCTCCCTCATTGTTTCCTAAGAAAGTACAGAATTACTGAAATACCAGAAATACTGGTTGCAAATCCGAAAACGGTGAACTGGGACATTCTGTTATAATAAAACACACCACTTTTATTGGAAACCAATCACTTTACTTAGATCAGTCTCTTAGCAGGATAAAAACCTGGTGTCGATGTCTGAAAGCAGGCCTTAATGGTTTCATCAGATAAGAAAAGCCTGGTAGCATAAGATCCCCGTTCAATTCAATTGTACAAAGGGAAATTACTTTGAGTATGGCCTTCTCCTGTTACATAGAGAGTACCTGTTCCTTTAATGAAAAGAATCAGCTAAATTACATTGAAGGACCCTCAAAGGTGTCACACTTGCAGCCATGAGTAGTAGTCTAAATGCCTAAGCACATTTTAACATGGCAATGGGACTGTGAACATTGATGAGCTCTGGCTCTGACTAAGACTGAGACAAAGGCTGATCTGAAACAAGATGAATATTTTTTTTTCCAATGATACATCTTAAATCAGGAATTGATGCAGATCTGATGTGAGGAAAGATGCTGAAACAGAACACGGACATGCTGATGGTCTCCACCAGAGGAAGGTTGAGGAATCAGCTCTTGATACAGCTCAGATGGAAAATATGTGGAATGGAAACAATATAAGGAAACATCTTAAAAACCCTGGATTCTTCTTTATTTACAGAAACTTTACTGGACAACGAATGATGGAACTTAAAACACTTTGCCCTCACTTTACCTTTGTTGGTGTGGAATATTGGATAGTTTCAGACATATCAGGTTTGAATAGGAATTCCATTTAAATAAGCTCTCTATTTGGTTTGATTGACACATTTTAGAGACTTTAGGTTTTTCATGAATTGATTTAATAAATAATTAGATTGAAATAGAAGCTGTCATAACGTTGTTCTGTTTGATTGAGGATTTGAATCTATAGAGTTCAACAAAGGTTCTGGAAATAAAAATCCCATGCATTTTTTTCCACTGGGGATTTTGAACGATAACTTATAAGCCTCTAAAGAGAGACCTACTGTGAGCTATGAAGTTGTTAGATTATATATGCTTTTGTTTTAAGCCATCAGCCTGAACCTGCACGTTTTTTTAATAATAATCCTGTTCAACAGTGGAATTCATGGCTACTAGCTGGCCTTTGTTGCATATAGACTTAAAAGAATAGGCTAGTGCACCCAAAAAAATGAAACTTCTGTCACCCTCATCCAGTTCCAATCCTGTAAGACCTTTATTCATCTTCGGAAAACAAATTAAGATATTTTTGATGAAATCCGAGAGAATTGCTACTTTAAGGCACAGAAAGTTATTAAAGACATTGTTAAAATAGTCCATGTGACTACAGTGGTTCAACTTTAATTTTATGAAGCGGCGAGAATACTTTTTGTGCATGTGCGAAAAACCCCGAAACAAAATGAACCACTATTTTTAACAATTTCTTCATGGTGTCAGTCTGGCCCTGTTCATGTTATAAACACAGTGCAGCACTTCCAGGTTTTGGGGCTTGAAAGTTTATTTACTTTCAAAAATGTACTTATTTACATTTATTTTGCAGTCTGGGGTGGGATGTGTGATCAGAAAGCTCTCCGAATTCATCAAAAATATCTTAATTTGTGTTCCGAAGATAAATGAAGGTCTTACGAGATTGGAAAGACATGCTGGTGAGTAATTAATGACATAATTTTCATTTTTGGGTGAATTAACCCTTTAAAATAGATTGTGATAAACATCTATAAATTAATCATTTTACATTTCTCCATTGTTTTTATATTTCTTCATTCAATTATTTCATTAATAGTGCTTCATGAAATTGTAGTTCTTTCACTCATTAAGGCTGTTACTGTAAATGTAAAAGCTATTAAAAATTCCCTAAATGAATGGGGAAAGTACTTAAAAGTAGGTGTGCAGACACTGTTGCTCTCTAAAGTGATATTTTGTTTCACAGTCCTTTTGATCACATTGTATTCATGGTAGAACTGCCTTTTAGGTTTTGGAATAACTAAACAAGTTTACTGTGTTTGTGATGGTTAGCAGGTTAATACTGCGACAGACCTCTTGGTGGCACCCCTACAGAGGGTTGAATGGTACCTGCTACACCCTTAGGACTGTAACACAGTCTATGATGGGAGCCTCATATTGCTTTAATGTCTGTTTCTGCCCAGCCTAGGGTTTTCCCTGACTCGGTTACACTGGTTGCCATAGGGATATGGCATGCTGCCCTGCCATAATTAGCTTGCCATGTTATACTATCTGAGGGACTGGGGCTAATACGCACCATTTGCGGCTATCTTTTGGTGCTTTCAACTGAACAGTGTTGGCATTTGGATCGTGTTTCCAAAGGACTTTAATGAAACTGATGTAATGATAAAACCTTCACTAACAGAGTGTTGATACTTGGCATGGGGCCTTGATGTGTGAGTTCTGCCAGGAGGTCATGTAAGGTCTAAAGGTGAGATGCGGACACTTCCTGTTGATATCCTCAAGTCAGTCTGTCTCAAACAGATACGCAAATCTAAGTGTATACGCACGGTATATTGAAATAGAAATACGCAATATACAGTGGTCGCAAAAATATTGTCACACTTGAAAATATATGACAAAGTATGACAATGCAAGTTTCATCTATAGTGTAGAGAAAGACTTTCAAGCTAACATTTAAAAACAAAATGTTTGTTAAAAATTGACACTTTGTCACACGTCAGTGTAGCATGTTTATAGTTATTTTGATCTGTTTGAACTTGGGGAACTGACTTCCTACTTAGTAAAAATCTCCTATGGTACCAGTTGGGTGCAAACATCATTGCAAAAGTTAGTTATAATGGTTTTGCATTGATTTTCTATTTTATTATCTAATACAACAAGATAATAAAGTGGTAGGATAATTGTATTACCTCAAGTTGATGGATTATATGAAATTTACACAGTCAACAAAGGATTGCTAAGATATGACATGGGCAAGTAAAGGCCAATTAAATGTTTCTATTAAAAGTTCAATTAAAAGTTCTCCATATAGTTTCTCCATATAATGGACTTCAATGGGAACCAAACGGTTCAAGATCCAAAAGACAGTTTCAGTGCAAACTGCAAACTGTTGAAAGGGCTTTAAATGATTCCAGACGATGAATAAGGGTCTTATTAAGTGAAACGATCGCTCATTAAAAAAAAAATAACAAAGTTTAAGTTTTATAAGCTCAAATGGTCGCCTTGCTCTGTTCTGTGACGCACGTTCGTGACTCTCCTATTCAAAATGAACGAATCTTTTCCCAACTCAACTTATTCATTTCGATCGTTGAATGAACCAAATGAGACGAAAAAAGATTCGTTCATTTTGATAAACGAGATCAAACAGGAGAGTCACGAACGTGCATTCCACAACCCGACAAAAGCCAACTGAATAAGTTCAACCAGTGAAAACCAGCACAACAAACTCACTGATAAAACCTGATAAAATCCAAAATCTGATAAAACCCAACAAACGTGTCTGGTGCTGTTGGTCAGCATCTGTCGGTGCAGTGTGAAATTGGCCTTAAAAGTGGGTAACGTGAGTACAATTCTGCATGGATAGCATGCAAATACCACTAAATAAAGGCTATAACATATCCAAAATCAACCCACATAATCTTTTGTCTTGTGGAAGGTGGATCTTTTATCTAGTGCTGAAGACATTATCAGGCAGGTTTTTTTTACCGTGACTTTGAAAGTAATGGACTTCTGTAGACCCTCTGGGGAAATCTGTAGAAGTTCAGCCACCACTCGGATCTCCTGAGCACTCACAACTGATGCCACTTCCTGAGATTCAGTCTATCAAAAAAAAAAAAAAATCTAACTTATTGCATTACACCACTGAAATCGAGCATTATGCTGTAGTTCAGCAACATGAGGGGAATCCAAGTGAGGAGGATGCAACCATTTGTTTGAGTTTCAGTGTACCTCATATCTCTCAAAGAAGACATTTCCTAAGTGAAGGATGGAAGACAGGACTCTGAAGATACCGTTCTGGTCTTCAACACTGAAGTGAAGTATTTCCATGGCACTTAGGAGCCTGCGGAAATCCTCCCCATCACTCTTGCCAACAATCTCACAGTCTCCACCCTTGCGACCAAATAGAGCATCCATGAAAGAGAACAACCATCTAGATTTTGAGGATTTTTTTTTGTTGCTATAATAATCTAGTTGATTAAACCATGGTCTCACCTGATTGAGGTAATAATACGTCTCGGCGTCTTGAAGGTAGAAAGACTGCTTCTGCTGTGAAGGAAGGCCTGCAAGCATCTCATAAAAAATGTGATAGTTTCTTTCATCTTTGGCCTGAGAAAGAAAAATTAACATTGTGGTTAAGAATTTGTTTAATAAATTATTATTTTAAATATCTATGAGCATTATGAAGAATACCTGAAACACAATCCTGGACTTTTCAAGTAGATACTGTGAGGTTATGGCACCGCTGATTACCCCTCTGTTTGGGAGCAGGAAAATCCGACAAGCATTAATATGTAATTATTTGCAACTTAAACCATGTACTCTAACATACAGTCATTTTAACCAGCATCGTGTGAATCGTGATCCTGTTACCCTCTTTCAGTTGTAAAGGTACTCCGTAAGTGTTTCCGTATAGGTGTATCAATAACATTGCAAAGAGATTTGGAATTGACAAACTTACTCTTCCATAAATATTTCCATGTATTTCCCAAATCGACTGGAGTTATCATTCCGCACAGTTTTGGCATTTCCAAAAGACTCTAAAAGAGGCGTTGCTTCAAGAATCTGTAGATTATGCCATAAATTAATATGTGAGAAGTATGTAGCAATAATAACTGCACAAAAACAAACATATTATTAGTAGTTTTGTCTTGTTTTCATCAGTTTTCAACTCCTGTGAGAGAGTCTTGAAGCTGACTTCTGCTGATGAAACTGCAAACTATATTCAGTAAAACTTTTTCTTTATTTTTTTATAAATCTGACTCTGGGATTTTTATAAATCTGACTCCCAACTTGTTTCTGAACCTGTTTATAATGTCAAAATAATCTGCCAGTGTAAAAAGAGAAAATGCTTTTTTTTTTAAAGATATAAGCCAGTCAGCCTGGCAGCCAGTCTTAATATTTACTATCTTCCATTTCAATCCAAAATAGCTACAAAAAAAAAAAAAAATGTTTACTGTTTCTGGAAAGCATGTGATATTATTTTAGTTGAAGATACTTTCCATAGATTATTCACCACTTCTGTTAAATTGTTTACTCCATAGGTCATTAAAAAAAAACTCTTGCACACTTGCATATCACAAAGTGCCACAAGACATGCAATAAAGGTTGCAAACAACAGAAGGCCACGCAAAAGTACAATACCTCAATCTGTATGATAGCATATACAAATAAAACACAAGAAAAAAATAAGTTATAAAATATGCATGAACTGAGTTTAACAGTTTTCAAAGATTTGATTAACTTAACTCATACCTGCTGTGTGATATTCTGTTTGTGATGTATTGCGGCTAAGTACCGGAGAACTAGCTTTGTGGTCTCTGTTTTACCAGAGCCACTCTCCCCACTGAAAGACAATAAGCACATTTAGACCACAATGATGACTCTAACCCTCTAAACTACCAGTTTAACCACTTAATTGGCATGAATGTGGCTTGGCATGTGAGAAACCGATTTTCTTGTCTTTTGCCATGCACTTAAGTAATGAGTGAGGCGTCTGATCATCAGACAGAAGTGGAATTGAATGCTTGATTGGGACTGTCGTCTCAGCTACTCTGAACAGCCATGGGTGCATTTCACAGAGACATGATCTGCTGGTGCAATCATGGCCTAGACATCAGTAGTCTTTCCTTACAGGTATCTCCGTCAGAGTTAGGTTTAAAGTGTTCCAGGCGATCAGCTGTGTCAAGTAGAACTGACACTGATGCCTCCATCAGTGTAAAAGACTACTTAAGGTGACAGGACATAGATTATCTTAGCTATTTGAATTCTGTCTGTTATTTTAATTAATCTTTCCAAAAACACATTGTGAGTTAGGTTAGTTGTTCAAATAGATATATATTTAAAAATATTTAAAATATTGCATGTTTACCTTAATTTATCCCTACCTTATAATAATGCACTGGTTTTCTTTGGCATCCATCATTTTTGTGTATGAGGCATTTGCAATAGCAAATAGATGTCTGCAAACACAATGGATAAGTTCAAAACATTTAAGAAAGAAGAACAATACTGTATAAGGAATTAGCCTAGCATTGATAAAAAGCGATCATCTTAAATACCGGTTAAATACTACTGAAGTTTAAAGTATTTTGAATTAATTAACGAATTAATTAATGGAAGTACTTACGGAGAATTCTCTCCAAGCGCATGCCCTTTGTGTTGTAGAACCATGTCTGTTCCGTAGATGTTGAACATCTTGTAGGGATTAACAGCCACCAGAATACTTCCAATGTAAGTCTTGGGATACACAAAAACAATATTGCTTTTAAAAACGCGTCATTGTGTAATTTCCTTTTTTAAATTCACTCAAAACTCTTTGTACTAAAATACTTACAGAATAAAAGTTCTAAAGAAACGCATTGATAGCTTTTAGTCATAAATAAACAAATGAATGTACTATCCATGTCTAGTAGACTTTGCATTTGACTTACATATATCAAATTGCGTTCAAATCTTTTCTTCAAATTCAGCAACACAGCACCTTCATGCAGGTCCCTAAAAAGAGTTTAATTTTTTACGAAAGCATTTAAAAGCGAATACAAAATGTCATTATATATAGTAGGACTTTCAAATGATTAATCGCGATTAATCGCATCCAAAATAATAGTTTGTGTTTACATAATATATGTGGGTGCACTGTGTATAATTATTTTATATATATATATAAATACACACACATGCTTGTATATATTTAAGAAATATTTTCATGCATATACTGTATATAAATTTATATATAATTTATATTATATATAAATATTTTATATATAAATAATATTTTTTTCTTAAATATACATGCATGTGTGTGTATTTATATATACAAAATAATTATACACAGAGCACCCACATATATTATGTAAAGACAAACTTTTATTTTGGATGCGATTAATCACGAATCGCGATTAATCGTTTGACGGCCCTAATATATTAGCATTTATCTTATTAAAAAATCTCATACTCAAGCTGTGTCATGTCCTCAAACCCATCCTCCTCTGCACGTTCACGATACAGCATTGTGGGCAGACTTCGAATTGAGTACATCTAAAAAAAAAAAATGTGTAAACAATGTGTAAGCCTAAACCAAACATGATATAAAGCTAGTATTTCACACTATGATTATTTATAGACCTTAGTCAGGGTAGAGATGCAATATTGAATTTCACATTTATGAAAATTAGGCTGTGAGGGAAATACTTGCAAGTCTTATAGTCTTTGCAATGGCAAAGCCTATACACTATTTTGACTAAGAGCTATTTAGAAAGATGTTTCATCAGCAACTGGGATGTTGTTAAACAATGGTACAATTCATTGAACACACTGTACTTCTATCCCTCATGGCGTTGTTTTCATTCCTACAAAAAATTAAATATGCTGCTACGGCTAAGGTCTATTGAAACGATACCTGTATGCTGTTGTGATATTGCTGGCATGGCAGGTGTATTTTGGTGCATTGTATACACAAACCTAAATACAGTACCAAATCATCCATCCCTAATCTATATTGTCTAATATCCAGTCAATATCAAAGTCATAATATTTTCCTTTGATATGACATTGCCCAACATCATTTTTGACCCAAAGTTTTAAATCTAAATTTCAGTATTTTACAGTTTTAACCTGAATCTTCAGTCATACAGTTGTATTATTTTAGTGGCACAGATATTGTCCTATGATTTTTGTATTTGTTTCCACTGTCGAACAAAAGGTCTACTGTAGATAGCAATTAAATGCTGAGTAATGTTTTCTTATAAAGAGTATAACTATATGCAAGTTATGTTACCTTGTCATACCAGTTCCCTTGAGGTTCACCTTCTCTATTTGGTAGCCATGCAGGTTCTGTGCTATCAGTCATTTGGCCAGGAAACACGGGGACGACAAAATTCTCCAGTTCTTCATCCCTATACATGGACCATTTTGTGAGGTTCTGAACAGTATGATGGGGGAGGACTCTTTCTGAAGACCAGACATCATCTGGCTCATGAAAATCTATTATTTGATTGTGAGCCCAGTGTTCACCAGACTGACCCTGAATCTGAGGGGTCACTACTGCGTACCTTGGGTCCTCTGGAGAGCGTCCCAGTGTTGACGGCAACTTGTAGGAGGCTTTGCGCAAGTTAACGTTCGTCAAGGCATTTCCCAGATAGGGTGAAGAGGGAGATTCACTTTGAGCAGGTTTACCTCTTGTCATGATTGATCCATCAGGCAATCTGTAAGATGCTTTACGAAGGTTTTGGTTTAGGAGGGCACTGGACATCATTGAAGAGGGAGCTTGCTCTTGCTTAGGATTTTTAAACAGGCCGGAGGTATTGGGTAAGCGATAGTTGGCCTTGCCAACATTTTGTAATGCACTTGACAAATTAGATGAAATTGATTTCTCTGGTTCCTGTTCAGAGCTCTTAGTCAAAAGTGTTCCATCAGGAAGTCTGTAAGAAGCCTTGCGAAGGTTTGAGTTCAGAAGAGCGCTTGAAAGATGCGGAGAGGGTGGCTGCTTTGCTGGTTGGTTTCGGGAAAAAAGAGTACTATCAGGTAGTTTATAGGAAGATTTACGTAGGTTAATATTCTGCAGAGCACTTCCCAAGTATGGTGAGGAATTTGTTGTGTCCACGGTTTGATCAGTGCTATTGGATACAAGTGTTCCATCAGGAAGCCTGTAACTTGCTTTTCGAATGTTTGGATTCTGAAGAGCATTGGATAGCGGTGAAGAAGTTTGAGCTGGTTGTGCTGGCTCATTTCTCATTAACGTACCATCGGGGAGCCTATAAGTTGCTTTGCGGAGACTGGGATTTTGCAAAGCATTTGACAGAACAGATGTAGCAGCCTCCTCTTTTTGGCCTCCTAAATTTCTAGATATTATTGATCCATCAGGTAGCCGAAAGGAAGCACCTTGAAGGTTTCGATTCTTTAACGCATTTGACAAAGGCGAGGAATTATCCTGTGCTTGCTGGAAAGGAGTAGGGTTCTGCTGTAAAGGAGAGGTATTGAATGCATTTCTAGAGATTATTGATCCATCAGGTAGCTGAAAGGAAGCACCTTGAAGTTTTGGATTCTTTAATGCATTTGACAAATGTGAGGAATAATCCTGTGCTTGCATGAAAGGAGTAGGATTCCTCTGTAAAGGAGAGGAATATGATGCATTTTTTAAGGTAGGATTCCGAAGTGCATTTGATAATACTGATGTTTGCTGTTCAGGCTGTGACATCACCGGAGCATATAAAGATGTATTTCGCTGAAGAGGTGAGATATATGAGGCGCTGCGTAATTGAGGATTTTGTAGTGCGTTTGTCAATGCTGAAGAAGATTGCAAAATGTTCTGTGGTACCTGCTGAGCTGCTGTGGTAGAATATGGAGATGTGCTTTGCAGTGGGGAAGTGAAGGAGGCATTACGTAGGTAAGGGTTTTGCAATGCATTAGAGAGCATTGGAGAATAATTCTGATTGTTTACCTGAACCTCTTGAGGTGCCACTGTAGAATGAGGAGATGCAGACCTTTGCAGAGGTGAGCGGTAATTGGCATTACGGAGAAGTGGATTTTGTAATGCATTTGATAAGCCTGGAGAAGAGCTCTGAGATAAACTTTGGTTGATCTGTGACATTGGGGATTTAAACCTTGGAAGTGGTGAACTGAATGAAGCAGCACCAAGATTTGGGTTCTGTAAAGCATTTGTTAGTAGAGGAGATGGCCCTTGTTCAACTGTCTGGGCAAATTCAGTTATTACCTGAGGCTGAGGAGTGTTGTGCTGAGGCTGAGGAGCAAAATGTGATCTGAGTGAGGCGCGATTGATTAATTCATTATGTAGAGCATTTCTCTGTGAGAGGATCGGCGATGGAGAGTGTATAGACATTGGTGAACCAGCTCTCACTGAAAGCTGAGGTGACGGACATGGGGTTGGGACATGTCTTACAGAGAATTGTGGTGAAAGTACACCTGGCCGTTTTATTGGAACATGTTGGGGAAAAGGGGGTTGAGCATTCATTACAAGAGGATGGCTCTGGCCTCTTATTGATTGTCTGAGAGGAACAGGACTTATTGGTACTCTCACAACAGGACGCCCTCTCCCAACAGGTCTATGAAACCCTCTCTGTGGATTTGGTGTTCCAGATGGAAAGAATCTCTTTGAGTCTTGAAAACCTGCTGGTCTGGAACCTTGTCTTGCCAACATGATGGGTGAGGATCTAGCACTCTGATTCAAAGCTCCTGAACTCATGGGTACATTATGGACTGAAGATCTGAACGGAGCAACGTTTTGCATTTGAGGAGTGCCATGATGACTTTTTCTTTGGAAAATTGGATTAACACGAGATGGCTTAACTGTTCCCATTGGCACTTTGTTGCCACCAAATCCTCTGAATCTACGTGTAGAGGAACGAGTTGGTAGATGCTGTGGGTCACGTTGAATTCTGCCAGAAAATGCTGATGGTGATGGGGAAAGAGGTCTCTGAGATCTAGAGGCAAAGGGGGATATTGGTCTCGGAGACATCTGTCTTTGGGAGGGAGATGTGGCTCTGTGAGGTGGGTATGGAGAGCTCTCCTCTAGTGAACGTTGACCTATTGTTGGAGACCGTGGAGGGCTTCTCCTCCGTAAAGATGGTTGTGGTGAAAAAGAACTTTTCCTGATAGATCTTGATGACATGAAAGAGTCCTGATTGCTTCTACCAATTGGCCTGAAACGAGATTTTATTGGAGGGCCAGGACTAGCCTTGGAACTTTGCCTCAGTGTTGGTCTAGGCGAAGAAGGAGGACTTCTCCTTCTCATTGAACCTCGTGGAGACATTGGAGGACTCTCTCTTCCATTAACAAGAGGAGATGGTGCTCTAGAACCGAATGGCTTTCTCTGGGGAATTGGCGATTTTCCCCTTAAAGAAGCTAAAGGTGATGGTGCTCGTCTGGACAGTTGTGGAGAAGAAGTGGGGCTAAATTTTCTCCTTTGAATGGGAGATAACTGCCTTTGTGCATTATTATTGTATGATGTTGGGCTAAACATTCTTGACTGCCTTGGTGAGAACCTTGGACCCATTTCCTCATACATATCAGATCTTTGGCGAGGTAGAGGGCTGCTTCGACCTGGTGAAAAATTACTTTGTCTTAAGGAGAGCTGTGGTGAGGGGAGATTGTTAAATTGTCTCATTGTTGGTTGGACATTTTCATGTGGAAAATCATATCTCTGAAACATAGGATCTGGATAGACTAAATGGGGTTCAACCATAGTGGGATCAAATCTCCTTGCTGACAAAACCGGAGATGATGGTGTTGAGAGTGGTATGTGTCCTACCGGTCCAAAATAATGTCTACCTGGCACAGGTGACACTGGGATTGGAGAATAAAAGTGTCTTGCCTGAGGAACAGGTGAGGATGGTATTGTTCTGGTTAAAATGGGACTACCCGGTGGTATAGTAGATGCTGGTGTTTGCTGAATGAATATAGGCGTGGGAGAAAATGACCTTTGTACAGCTTCTGATTGATGTGGAGTATATAAAGGAAGGCTCATAGGTGAAGCATATTGGTTCTCATATTGGTCTGGAATCATTGTTTCCCCATCATTCCTAGTGAATTGCATCGGACTTCCAATTTCAAGTTTTTCTTTTCCAAACAATTTTACTTGTGGTCTTGGGAATCGGAATGAATCTTCAGTCAATATTCCTTCCGTTGGTATTTGTACATACTCATTACCGTACATTCCTGAGGGATCTGTTGGTTCCATGACATCCTCCACTGTGTACATAAATGGCTGGTTAGCAACCATCTGAGAGTCAAGGTAAACTGCGGTGGTGTCTCCATTGTATATGTACTGATTTGGATTGTATACATATGGATAACCTGGATACGCCATGTTGGCATCTGAAACACCATCATAGTGAATGTAATAATTTTGCTGATCACCATAATAGTCAAACTGTTCTGGATAGTATCCATATTCATAGTATTCCACATCATAACCAGGGTAGCCAAATTCATCTTCCACAGCATAACCCATTTCATCATAGTATTCCATACCATCAACAGGGTATCCAAATTCATCAACTCTCTGGTGCCTGTAATCATAGTCAATTCTATCATCATAATAACCATATGGTTGATCGTAATAGTCTTCATCAAAATAGCCATACTCATCCTCATTCATAGGATCATAATAATCATTCTCCTCATCATAAAAGCCATACTCATCTTCAGGATAATCGTAATATTCCTGGTCATCTTCAAAGTAGTCATACTGATGTGGTCCTCTAAAGCGCCCCTCACCATAGCCGTCATGATTTCTGCTCCTATAACGTCCCCGGGGGTTGTTTCTGCTGTAACTACTTTGAACATAGTCATCTTCCTCATAGCTGAACTCACCCTCATCATATTCATATCCTCCATTCTGATAGCCATGATATTGCCCCACACTTGACCTGTCATAACGAACAGAGCGACCCTGTCTTCCAGATGTTTTGGATGAGATGAATTTATTAGTTAACCAGTTTGCTGCTCCTGATATCTTCCCCAGAGCCCATCCTTTACTTTTGAATTGTGCAGCTCCAGTTTTCTTTTTACCAAAGAAGCCTTTGAATTTCCCTCCCAGACCAGAGGTGGCTGCTGCATTTTTATTTGCTTTCCCACCAATACTGAGTAATAAAAGTGTTCTTCCTCCTTCCTCCTTTTTACTTTTGTCTTCTTCTGTAGCTTTTGACTTTCCAAAGCCTGAAAACAACTTTGATGTACTTTGTAATGCCTTTGGGCTCATACCTTTTTTCTTCTTGCTGCCAGAAAGTCCCATGAAAAGCCTAGATGTGCTTTTTAGCCCTCTTTTTGATTGTTTTGGGGCTGGCTTTGAGAAAAATGGGGACTTTCCTTTTTCAACATTTTGCTGACCCTGAACAGCAAAGCCTGTAATAGCCGAAGTTGCCCCTTTCAGGTTTATGTCCTTCATTTTGCCCAGCTGAAGTTGTGGCTTTTTTGGATCAACAACTTGCTCAGCTGCTTGCCCACGCTTTGGCTTAGCTACAGCTTTCACTGCCATAGCTTTGGATGCTCCCTTCAGTGCAGCTTTCCCTTTCCCTTTCCCTCTTTTACCACCATCATCCTCGCTTTGCACATCCTCTTCATCTACAGCCTCACTGTCCTCAACCTCACTTCTATCTACTTCGGAAGCCTCCTCAGATTCACTCGGATCTGGTTTGCCTTTTCCTTTTCCTTTCTTTGGATCCTCTTTCCCTTTCCCTTTAGGAGGATCTTTGCCTCCTTTTCCCCCTTTCTTGTCATCTTTTGCTGCCTTTGTATCTTCTTTTGCTTTGTCACCTTTCTTAGGAGCAGCTTTGTCTGCTTTCTTTGGTGGCATTTTATCCTTCTCCAAAAGTCATGCTAATATACGTCACTGTATCAAAAATGGGTGGTCAGTGACAGAAAACTCAAACAGTAACGCAAATGTTCCATGTGGATTCCAGGTTCAACAAAAAACTTATGAATTATGTCTAATAATTCTCTTGAATAATTGTCACTTAATACAAAAGCCAAAATGCTGATAGCTCTTTTTGTTCAGGACTCTACCTTACTGGTGTATTCCTCACATTTCAGAAATATCCGAGTCTTGTCCTTGGCTGTAGTGCTAATTTTGGCAAGAGATTTCCCACACACAAAAGGCTCCCCAGCTAACAGGGAACGTTCTCAGAACTTTGGCTAACATTCCCTAGAGGTTTGGTTAATGTTTTAAATAAAACATTTGAATGCAATGTTTAAAGAATGTTTTAAGGATGTTTTCTCATTTCAAATAATGTTCCTATAAGGTTAAATGTAAACTAAGATATAACATTTTCACTGTAACATGTTAAGGATGTTTTGGGAATGTTGCTGAGATAACAGATTAAACAATGTTCTCAATAAAACATTAGCACAATATCTCATAATAACAGAGGAGGAACATTATCAAATCAACGTTCGCAAAATGTTTTGAGGATATTATTTAGGCCTGAGATGATGGAATGTTTTTATAAAACGTTCTTGTAATGTGACGTGTTAACAAAACTAGAACATTGTCACTGTAACATGTTAAGGATGTTTTGGGAATGTTGTTGAGATAACAGATATTAGAATGTTATCAATAAAACATTGGTACAATGTCCCATAAAAACAAAGGAGGAACATTATCAAATCAACGTTCGCAAAATGTTATGAGGATATCATTGAGGCCTGAGATGACTGAATGTTTTTTATAAAACATTCTTGTAATGCGACGTGTTAAGAAAACTAGAACGTTTTAAATTTAACATTTTGAAGATGTTGATGAGGTAAAGGTTTGTAGAATGATCTTTTATAAAATATTGAAACAATGTTCCATAATAACAGAGGAGGAACATTATCAGGTTAACGTTCGCAAAATGTTTTGAGGATATTATTAGTCCTGAGATGACGGAATGTTTTTTATAAAATGTTCTTGTAATGTGACATGTTAACAAAACTAGAACATTTTTACTGTAACATGTTGAGGATGTTTTCGGAATGTTGTTGAGATGACAGATATTACAATGTTCTCAATAAAACATTGGTACAATGTCCCATAAAAACATAGGAATAACATTATCAAATCAACGTTCGCAAATGTTATGAGGATATCATTGAGGCCTGAGTTGATGGAATGTTTTTTATAAAACGTTCTTGTAATGTGACGTGTTTAACAAAACTAGAACGTTTTAAATTTAACATTTTGAAGATGTTGATGAGGTAAAGGTTTGTAGAATGATCTTTTATAAAACATTGAAACAATGTCCCATAATAACAGAGGAGGAACATAATCAAATTAACGTTCGCAAAATGTTTTGAGGATATTATTTAGTCCTGAGATGACGGAATGTTTTTTGTAAAATGTTCTTGTAATGTGACGTGTTAACAAAACTAGAACATTTTCACTGTAACATGTTGAGGATGTTTTGGGAATGTTGTTGAGATAACAGACATTACAATGTTCTCAATAAAGCATTGGTACAATGTCCCATAAAAACATAGGAATAACATTATCAAATCAACTTTCGCAAAATGTTATGAGGATATCGTTGAGGCCTGAGTTGATGGAATGTTTTTTTATAAAACGTTCTTGTAATGTGACGTGATTAACAAAACTAGAATGTTTTAAATTTAACATTTTGAGGATGTTGATGAGGTAAAGGTTTGTAGAATGATCTTTTATAAAACATTGAAACAATGTCCCATAAAAACATAGGAATAACATTAACAAATCAACGTTCGTAAAATGTTTTGAGGATATTATTTAGTCCTGAGATGATGGAATGTTTTTTATAAAATGTTCTTGTAATGTGACGTGTTAACAAAACTAGAACATTTTCACTGTAACATGTTGAGGATGTTTTCGGAATGTTGTTGAGATGACAGATATTACAATGTTCTCAATAAAACATTGGTACAATGTCCCATAAAAACGGAGGAGGAACATTATCAAATCAATGTTCGCAAAATGTTATGAGGATATCATTGAGGCCTGAGTTGATGGAATGTTTTTTAATAAAATGTTTGTAATGTGACGTGTTTAAACATTAACACTGTAACATGTTAAGGATGTTTTGGGAATGTTGTTGAGATAACAGATATTACAACGTTCTCAATAAAACACTGAAACAATGTTCCATAATAACAGAGGAGGAACATTATCAAATCAACGTTCAAAAAATGTTTTGAGGATATCATTGAGGCCTGAGATGATGGAATGTTTTTATAAAACATTCTTGTAATGTGACGTGTTAACAAAACTAGAATGTTTTAAATGTAACATTTTGAGGATGTTGATGAGGTAAAAGTTTATAGAATGATCTTTCATAAAATATTAAATGTAGGCCTACCATAATAACAGAGGAAGAACATAATCAAATTAACGTTCGCAAAATGTTTTGAGGATTATTTAGTCCTGAGATGATAAAATGTTTTTAATAAAACATTCCTTTAAATTGACTTTTTAACAAACATTTTGCATGATACATTTTGAGGATTTTTTGTCGAAATGTTGTTATCTTTTATAAATCATTGGCACAATAACAAAGGAGGAACATTATCAAAGCAACATTCATCAAATGTTTTGTGGACATTTACCTGAGATGACAAAATCTCATAATATATGTTAACAAAAGCTCATAAAATTGTAAGGATATTTTAAGGAAGCTGTTTAGGTAACATATTTTAGAATTATTTTAACCTATAGAATAATGGCATAATTTTCCATAATAAAAGAGGAACATTGTCAAAACAGCATACGTAAAGTGTTTTGAGGATATATTAGGCTACTCTGAACTGAACTGCTGCGACAAATGCGTTTACAAGAGATGAGAAGCTGATTGGAGGTCGCTGTAGATCAACGTTTAAAACCACCAATCACAGCGCGATGTTCCCATGACGTAAGAACATTTGAACTCGACAAACAGCGCAAATAAAGCAACGTTTCTGTTGAAGAACTCGGCGCAGAATGTCCGTTGTCTAAATTGGCGACACATTGGCCCAAAACAACAGAACTCCTGGTCAACGGAACTCTTTCACAACTGTAAGTTTTTGTGTGTATTTTTTCAGTTTACATAGCTTTCTCTTGTCCTTGATGTCTTTCAGTATTAGACCTAACTTTCTACTTTCTTAGAATTGTATGACAGTCGCAATAAATCTGAGTGTATGCTACTTTTGAATAACAGCTAGATTTGTTTTAATGCAGACTCCAAACGGACTGTTTCAAGATGATTAACTTACCGATCACACAATAAAGTCTCCATTTACAACCAAGGTAGCCAACTATAATGCCGGTATTGTGTTCTATGCATACGAATACTGTATTTTTACTTAAAAGTGATCTTAATGTCTTTTGAAAGTAAAAGTTAATAATATTTCAGTAATTCATATAACGTTAGAGGTTAACGTTAATGAATTGGAAAGAGCGTTTCTCAAGGCTTCCTAGGTGTATATAACATTCTTCTTTCAGATGAATACTATCTGAGTTATATTTAAAAAAATGTCCTGACTCTTCTGACTTTTAGAATGGCAGTGAATGGCCGTCTATCAAGGCGCATCCATCCATGATAAAAGTAATCCACCACATGACTCTGGCGGGGTTATAAAGCCCTTTTAAAGCGAAGCATTTGTGTAAGAAAAATATCCATTTTTAAAACTTTATTGGATTAAGATATTGGATACATGGATTAAGTATGTTTTAAATTACAGAAACAAAAAAGATACTCATAATTTATCATATTTACTTTCAATAAATTAGTCTTTACATAATTTCTGACTGCTAATTAGGCTGGCTAATTTTGAAAGTTTTCAATGTCAATATTGCTTGTGATCTTAATGTATGTGTATTCTTTATGTTTACACTTTTGCATGATCTTCTTTTTTAGGCTATGAGGAAAAACTCTACTGTGCACACAGAGAACAGAGCTCAATGCTAACTGGGGGAGCAGCTGGACAACTAGAAGAGAGAATAGTAGAACACTACTATTAATACAGATTCCTGGATTATTTTTCTGCAAGAACCAAAACAAGCAAAGACTGATGATGAGTGCTCTGAGCAAACACTGGAGTCAAGACGCATGAGTGACTTTACTGAGTTCTTCATGTAATGTTGGGCATTTACTGTACGCAGAACTTCTAATAATTTATGTGGATGCCATTTATAAACCTGTTAGATTTTGATGTTTTAGTTTTGAGATTAATAAAATGTTATGCTTTAACAATGTTATAGCTAATCATTTTTGAGGGGTTTTAAGTGAACATTTTGGGAACAAAAATAAACTTCCGCTAAAAACTTTATAAGAAAGTTAGGGGATAATGTTTTAAAAATGTTATGATTAAACCTTTATAGAAGGTCATCACAAAACATTTTCAGAGTGTTCATAGAGAATGTTATGCCATCTTTTAAGAGAACATTCTGGGAACAAAAAGAAAACTACCCGCTGAAAATGATATAAGAACGTTGGGGAATAATTTTCTAACAATGTTAGCATTTAACATATTTAGAATGTTTTTAGAGAATGTTATTAGAACTTTTAAGAGAACATTCTGGGAACAAAAAGAGAACTACCCGCTGAAAATGTTATAAAAACATTAGGGAATAATGTTCTAACAATGTTAGCAATAAACATATTTAAAATATTTTTAGACAATGTTATTAGAACTTTTAAGAGAACATTTTAGGAACCAAAAGAAAACTACCCGCTGAAAATGTTATAAAAACATTAGGGAATAATGTTCTAACAATGTTAGCAATAAACATATTTTAAAATGTTTTTAGAGAATGTTATTAGAACTTTTAAGAGAACATTTTAGGAACCAAAAGAAAACTACCCGCTGAAAACATTATTAGAACACTGCATGGTAATGTTCTCAGAACATTTTTAGAACAAAAAAATCCTAGCTGGGTCTTTATCTCAGGCATCCGTGAATGTCAGCATCCCTTTGTCATGTTCTACAAGCTTTTTCATGCCTTGGGAAAGTACTCCAGTTACACTTTTTGTCCTCTTGAGTTTTGCAGGTAGTGTCCTTCAATAGCTCCAGATGCATGTGTCTGAAAGTATGCGAGGGCTCCCTGTAATAGCTACGAAGGGCACCTTAAATGTATCAACTACACTGACTTAGAGTAACATTATCTGTTTGGCTCATTCCTGTATGAATAATGCACGTTGGCTGAGCTGTTACTAAACTGTGTCTGAGGACATTTCCAAAAAAGTATGGTAATGATGATACTGACTGAAGAGGAATGTCTCCTCCATCACATCTGAGGTGGGTTAAATGTTAGATATTATTTGAGTACGAAATAAATAAAACGACTTTAACTTGATACTGTCATGCCAAACTTTTTTTATTTTATTTTTTTATTCTGTTTTTAATTGTGCCATGACTTGCAACAGTGACATTTTGATTTAAAACGATGTTATCAACCACCCAATAAGACTTTTGGAGATGGAGATCATTTGAAGTAATTGAATAACAAAAATGTTGGATTTGTTGATTTTGCATTATTTCGGCCATGTATATTATTTGTTCAAAGAATAAATATAGCTTGTAAATGTTTAGAGTTAGACTGACATGAATTATATATGATTTATTGGTGGGATGACTTCATTGCCTTTTGACTATATTTTTATGAACAGGAGAGCATCCAAACAGGTATCAACATTTATTATTATAATGCTACCAAATCATATGTTGCTACTCAATACATAAGTTTATGTCAGCTCTGAAAAAAATTAATGGTTATCACAGCCAAGAATCACATATGTACGTAATAAGCTGCGTGATTATCTCTCTGTTGACCACTTAATATTCCAAGAGTTCATGACACTGGTAGGGATAAATTCTTAATAGCCGGTCTGTATTCAGTTCACTAAGAAATAATTAAATATTAATCGGAAAAGTTCTAAATATAGAGTGAGTGACCCCATTCATTGTTAGCTTCGTATATTCGCCATCACAGGCATATATATTGCATATTTATATGATAATACAAGTAGGTGATTTACTGAACATTATTTTCATGATTTCATTTATTTTATTCTTGTATTTTTATTTATTTATTTATTTTTCTTGAAAAAGATGGTTATCTCTTATCTGTAATGTAAAAAAAAAAAAATCCTCTGTGGTGCAAGCTGTTCAGCTGTTATGTTTTGAAACAAGTCCAAGAGGTGCTTTCTTTCAAGGATGTCCAATCCAATTTCAATACATAACACATATGACTTTACCTTCAATTTAATTAATAGAGAATTAATGTTTTAATTCATTATAATACTAAGTCAGACTCAGTTCAAATTCTTTTTTCGGCACTATATATATATACAGCACTAGTTCCATCAGGTGTTAAATGCATATTAGAGTATAGGTAAGTAAAGAGAAGACTTAAACCCCTTTAGACCCATAGCTTAGTCTCCTTGGCGAGACGTAATGCATACCCCAAACCCTAAATGAACCTGTTTAAATCCAAGCCTAGCTATTCACCTAGGCCAAGTGCTGGGTAAGGTTACAATTAAGAGGCTTGGGGGAGGACTAGATACAATTTCAGTGGTGTTAGAAGCTGTCTAAGTTAACAAATCTATACATTGTCTCAGATCATACATATAAATGTCAAGCATCATCTTTGCCACAATGAAATATCAAATGGCTCCAACAGCCTCTTAACTGTGCAGTTATCCAAGCTGTCTATAAGCCTTTAAAGGGATACTCCACCCAAAAATGAAATTCTGTCATTTACTCACCCTCAAGTTGTTCCAAATCTGTATGAATTTCTGTCTTTTTGAGCACAAAAGAAGATATTTTAAAGAATGTCACTAACCAAACAGTTGATAGGGCCCCATTTACTATATTTTTTTCCACACAATGAAAAGTCAGTCCAGTCCATCGACTGTTTGCTTACATTCTTCAAAATATCTTATTTTGTGTTAAGCAGAGGAAATAAACTCATACAAATTTGGAACAACTTGAGGGTGAGTAAATGATGACAGAATCTTCGTTTTGGTTGAACTATCCCTTTAAATTGCTACTTCTTATATTAATGTTCAATTTATTGATGTTTGTCTTCGGGTAAGAACTACAAAGTCACAAAAGAAACTTAATCTAATTTAATGCAATTAGGCTTCACCAAACAAATAGCGACTTTGTCACACACAAGCGCACTGTTTGTTTAGTGTAATGAACCTCCTTATGCTTGCAGATGCCAGCCAGTAATTAATAAATAATGAAGGGAAATCTTTAACAAGGCACCATATAATGGTTGTCAAAAGTCCAAGATAAGCTCGCCAGATATACACGGCATAAATAAAAAATATCAACAGCTTTATTATTCTTAATGTAAAGAAATATAAATAAACTAGCATTGTACAGGAAGCATAGTGTCAAATAAAAATATAATAAATCATGATATTGTCATGATTGCGCCAGTAGCTGTAACACTTACCTTGAAAATTGTTTTTTAAAAAATCTTTGCATCTAATCCCTTTTCCAAAAGAGTCACTCAATGGCTATATAAGAGAATATAAGCTCTGGCTTTCTCGGTAATATAAGTTCTGGAATATAAGATCTGTTCTCAGTAGTGTGTTGCACTGAACTATGCTGGACCAAGACATTGTTCATGTTCATATAAGGCCTGATCTATTATGTTGTATACCTCTACCAAACTGCTCTCTTTCAGATGTAAAAGCGGCACACGCATGCAAACAGACCTTCCAAAATGCGGAGATGGAACAAAAGCAATGGTAATGTGACTTGCTTGTTTTCTTTTTTTTATTTTGGACAATGCATTTTAGCACACAAAGCAACATCATATACCTCAGTGAAGGTAAACAATTTATATTATACTAGAAACGAAAGGCCTGGCTCTGTATGCAAACAAACTACCTCACCCCTATTACAAGCTTGTTACAAGCAGTGGCTGCAGACAGGGTTCAAAGATCTGCACTTGCCTCTAGATTTTAGAGGTGAGAGTGCATCACATCAACAAGGAATTTTTCATTAAAATTATTTCTTATTTCTGGCTTACTTAAAAGTCATTTTAATTGTTCAGTACAATAGACAATCAGCTGCCTTAAGGAAAAAAAAAATTAATATCGTCTCCCCCTATAAGACACATATTAAAGTCAGCTTGAAATCAAAATTGCCAATACTTGTTTTTTATGGAACATTGCAGTGTTTATTATCAATGATTTAGCCTATACTTGAACATCATTATTTTAAAACATTCATGTGCCCTCATAATCTATAATCAAATGAACTTTGCCTTCTTGCAGTGACATCTCTTCTCTGATGTGTTTACTGCTGTGAGGGTGGGACAACCTGTCACTCACATGACATCACAGCAATAACAAACCACAACCATCCACTGTGCTGTACGTGTCGCCCCGCCCCACTACTCTAATTGGTTCATTCGTCTTCAGGTATACTTGATAGAAAATAGTGTTTGTAGTGGATGTAGATCAGAGAAGTGCATGGATGTCGAAGCGAAATGTCATCAATCAATTTACAAAACTGTAAAAGAGAGGTGTCTAATGCCTCATACACTGAACAAAAGGGCCTGAGCCCCTGAAAAAAAAAGGTTGTTGATTGTGGCATGTTGGTCCACTCCTCTTCAATGGATGTGCGAAGTTGCTGGATATTGGCTGAGCTGTTTGCTGATGTCAACATTGTGGATGGAGTCGCCCATGGTGGCGTTGGGGTTATATAATGGGCAGCCGTATGTTATGGACAACAAACACAGATGTATTTTATTGATGGCATTTTTTAATGCACAGAGATACATGATGAGATCCTGAGGCCCATTGTGCCATTCATCCACGACCATCACCTATGTTGCAGCGTGATAATGCACGGCCCCATGTTGCAAGGGTCTGTACACAATTCCTGGAAGCTGAAAACATCCCAGTTCTTGCATGGCCAGCACACTCACCGGACATGTCACCCATTGAGGATCTTTTGGATGCTCTGGATCAGCGTATACGACAGCGTGTTCCAGTTCATGCCAATATCCAGCAACTTCACACAGCCATTGAAGAGGAGTGGACCAACATTTCACAGGCCGCAATCAACTTTCCTTTTTGGTAAAACTTTATTTTCGATAGCCCACTTTAGACATTCTAACTCTAAGTAACTTTGCAACTACATGTCAACTCTCAGTCATTAGAGTATTAGTAGACTGTCTGCTTATATCTGCTAGCCTAGTACTTTATTTTGTTGGTCCCCCAACAGACTACAAGTCAATTTATTTTCCTAACCCGCAGCCTAACACCTAACCATAACTTACCAGTGTACTACAGCCTACTAATACTCTAATGAGAATTAGTTGACATGTAGTTAAAAGGTTACTTATAGTTCATGTCATATAGTTATATAGGAATGTCTAAAGTGGACTATCGAAATAAAGTGCAACCCTTTTTTTTCAGGGGGTCTAGAATATCCTACTTAATCTGAATCTGTGTCAAATTCAGTTTGTTAACTTAACTCG